TAATTTCCACCTGTTGTCTATTCCATTTGCACAACAGCATGTTACATTTATTGTCAATCAGTGTTGCTTCCTAAGTGGACAGTTTGATTTCACAGAAGTGTGATTGACTTGGAGTTACATTGTGTTGTTTAAGTGTTCCCTTTATTTTTTTTGAGCAGTGTATATACAGTGGGGAGAACAAGTATTTGATACACTGCCGATTTTGCAGGTTTTCCTACTTACAAAGCATGTAGAGGTCTGTAATTTTTATCATAGGTACACTTCAACTGTGAGAGACAGAAAAATCCAGAAAATCACATTGTATGATTTTAAGTAATACATTTGCATTTTATTGCATGACATAAGTATTTGATCACCTACCAACCAGTAAGAATTCCGGCTCTCACAGCCCTCCTATTCTCCACTCATTACCTGTATTAACTGCACCTGTTTGAACTCGTTACCTGTATAAAAGACACCTGTCCACACACTCAGTCAAACAAACTCCAACCTCTCCACAATGGCCAAGACCAGAGAGCTGTGTAAGGACATCAGGGATAAAATTGTAGACCTGCACAAGGCTGGGATGGGCTACAGGACAATAGGCAAGCAGCTTGGTGAGAAGGCAACAACTGTTGGTGCAATTATTAGAAAATGGAAGAAGTTCAAGATGACGGTCAATCAGCCTCGGTCTGGGGCTCCATGCAAGATCTCACCTCGTGGGGCATCAATGATCATGAGGAAGGTGAGGGATCAGCCCAGAACTACGCGGCAGGACCTGGTCAATGACCTGAAGAGAGCTGGGACCACAGTCTCAAAGAAAACCATTAGTAACACACTACGCCGTCAAGGATTAAAATCCTGCAGCGCACGCAAGGTCCCCCTGCTCAAGCCAGCGCATGTCCAGGCCCGTCTGAAGTTTGCCAATGACCATCTGGATGATCCAGAGGAGGAATGGGAGAAGGTCATGTGGTCTGATGAGACAAAAATAGAGCTTTTTGGTCTAAACTCCACTCGCCGTGTTTGGAGGAAGAAGAAGGATGAGTACAACCCCAAGAACACCATCCCAACCATGAAGCATGGAGGTGGAAACATCATTCTTTGGGGATGCTTTTCTGCAAAGGGGACAGGACGACTGCACCATATTGAGGGGAGGATGGATGGGGCCATGTATCGCGAGATCTTGGCCAACAACCTCCTTCCCTCAGTAAGAGCATTGAAGATGGGTCGTGGCTGGGTCTTCCAGCATGACAACGACCCGAAACACACAGCCAGGGCAACTAAGGAGTGGCTCCGTAAGAAGCATCTCAAGGTCCTGGAGTGGCCTAGCCAGTCTCCAGACCTGAACCCAATAGAAAATCTTTGGAGGGAGCTGAAAGTCCGTATTGCCCAGCGACAGCCCCGAAACCTGAAGGATCTGGAGAAGGTCTATATGGAGGAGTGGGCCAAAATCCCTGCTGCAGTGTGTGCAAACCTGGTCAAGACCTACAGGAAACATATGATCTCTGTAATTGCAAACAAAGGTTTCTGTACCAAATATTAAGTTCTGCTTTTCTGATGTATCAAATACTTATGTCATGCAATAAAATGCAAATTAATTACTTTAAAAATCATACAAAGTGATTTTCTGGATTTTTGTTTTAGATTCCGTCTCTCACAGTTGAAGTGTACCTATGATAAAAATTACAGACCTCTACATGCTTTGTAAGTAGTAAAACCTGCAAAATCGGCAGTGTATCAAATACTTGTTCTCCCCACTGTATATATATATATAGAAAAACATTATTTGATTTCCCAAAAATCTGAACAACACAACATTCAATGGGGACTGTATGTACAGTTGAAGTCGGAAGTTCACATACAACTTAACCAAATACATTTAAACTCAGTTTTTCACAATTCTTGACATTTAATCCTAGTAAAAATTCCCTGTTTTAGGTCAGTTAGGATCACCACTTTATTTTAAGAATGTGAAATGTCAGAATAATAGTAGAGAGAATGATTTATTTCAGCTTTTATTTCTTTCATCAAATTCCCAGTGGGTCAGAAGTTTACATACACTCAATTAGTATTTGGTAGCATTACCTTTAAATTGTTTAACTTAGGTCAAACGTTTCGGGTAGCCTTCCACAAGCTTCCCACAATAAGTTGGGTGAATTTTGGCCCATTCCTCCTGACAGAGCTGGTGTAACTGAGTCAGGTTTGTAGGCCTCCTTGCTCGCACACACTTTTTCAGTTCTGCTCACACATTTTCTATAGGATTGAGGTCAGGGTTTTGTAATGGCCACTCCGATACCTTGACTTTGTTGTCCTTAAGCCATTTTGCCACAACTTTGGAAGTATGCTTGGGGTCATTGTCCATTTGGAAGACCCAGTTGCGACCAAGCTTTAACTTCCTGACTGATGTCTTGAGATGTTGCTTCAATATATCCACAGAATTTTCCTTCCTCATGATGCAATCTATTTTGTGAAGTGCACCAGTCCCTCCTGCAGCAAAGCACTCCCACAGCATGATGCTGCCACCCCCGTGCTTCATGGTTGGGATGGTGTTCTTCGGCTTGCAAGCAACCCCCCTTTTCCTCCAAACATAACGATGGTCATTATGGCCAAACAGTTCTATTTTTGTTTCATCAGACCAGAGGACATTTCTCCAAAAAGTACGATCTTTGTCCCCATGTGCAGTTGCAAACCGTAGTCTGGCTTTTTTTATGGCAGCTTTGGAGCAGTGGCTTCTTCCTTGCTGAGCGGCCTTTCAGGTTATGTCGATATCGGACTCGTTTTACTGTGGATATAGATACTTTTGTACCTGTTTTCTCCAGCATCTTCACAAGGTCCTTTGCTGTTGTTCTGGGATTTATTTGCACTTTTCGCACCAAAGTGCGTTCATCTCTAGCAGACAGAACGTGTCTCCTTCTTGAGCGGTATGACGGCTGCGTGGTCCCATGGTGTTTATACTTGCGTACTATTGTTTGTGCAGATGAACGTGGTACCTTCAGGCGTTTGGAAATTGCTCCCAAGGATGAACCAGACTTGTGGAGGTCTACAATTATGTTTTTAGGTTTTGGCTGATTTCTTTTGATTTTCCCATGATGTCAAGCAAAGAGGCACTGAGTTTGAAGGTAGGCCTTGAAATACATCCACTGGTACACCTCCAATTTACTCAAATGATGTCAATTAGCCTATCAGAAGCTTCTAAAGCCATGACATCATTTTCTGGAATTTTCCAAGCTGTTTAAAGGCACAGTCAACTTAGTGTATGTAAACTTCTGAATTATAAGTGAAATAATCTGTCTGTAAACAATTGTTGGAAAAATTACTTGTGTCATGCACAAAGTAGATGTCCTAACCGACTTGCCAAAACTATAGTTTGTTAACAAGAAATGTGTGGAGTGGTTGAAAAACAAGTTTTAATGACTCCAACCTAAGTGTATGTAAACTTCCGACTTCAACTGTATGTGTACCAAGCATATCTCCTCATTGAATTACAGGAAAATAATTAGACATCACATTTCAAAACATCCACTGCCTCAGACTTCTTGCAGACTATTACTAAAACTAAGGGCATGCAGTCTAAGAAAGGTTATTGGACCAAAACGTTGTTGCAAATGAATCTACTGTACTTGGCAATACAAATATTATGAATTCAGTAGAGCTACCGCCTTGTCTTTTATTTTCTCAGTAAAACCAAGAACCATTAATCAAAACTGCAACACAAAACCCTGTCTAGCCCACACAGAGAAAACTGTAGCTTAGCTACTGAATAAGGATGAGTAAAAAGGGATGTGAAAGACTGAATGCATGGAGGAAGTGAACTGCTACAGTAGCTGTCCAACAGGGCAGTCAAAACCAATGTGTCTGCTTCAGGGCAATCAAAACATCAACAGAGTGGTGGTTAACCCCCAAGGCCTTGATATAGGAGGACGAGGAGAGAACTGGAGGAACATTGGAAAGACGGCTGTGCAGAAGAGTGAGAAAGAGAGAGAGGTCAGCAGCATAGTGAGATAGATGGGGCGAGAGAGGTCAGCAGCATAGTGAGATAGATGGGGCGAGAGAGGTCAGCAGCATAGTGAGATAGATGGGGCGAGAGAGGTCAGCAGCATAGTGAGATAGATGGGGCGAGAGAGGTCAGCAGCATAGTGAGATAGATGGGGCGAGAGAGGTCAGCAGCATAGTGAGATAGATGGGGCGAGAGAGGTCAGCAGCATAGTGAGATAGATGGGGCGAGAGAGGTCAGCAGCATAGTGAGATAGATGGGGCGAGAGAGGTCAGCAGCATAGTGAGATAGATGGGGCGAGAGAGGTCAGCAGCATAGTGAGATAGATGGGGCGAGAGAGGTCAGCAGCATAGTGAGATAGATGGGGCGAGAGAGGTCAGCAGCATAGTGAGAGAGATGGGGCGAGAGAGGTCAGCAGCATAGTGAGATAGATGGGGCGAGAGAGGAAAGGAGGAGGAAGGGGGACTGTGAATGGGGTAAAGCAGTGTGCCAACCTGTGGGTTTCCTTTCCACATCAGCCCTCTGCCCTCATACCTCCACTCTGCAGACTAAACAGTCAGACACAGACAGACCAGTATACCTGTAGACCAGGTCAACAACACAACATGAACACACACAGAGCCCTATTGACTGGCTGTCTGAGCTAACACTCTGCTGAGGAGGTGGATGGGGGCTAGCCTCTTTCACCTGGAGGGTCGACCAAGGGTTAAGGTGTTGGACTGGGGTTCATGGGTCTGCTATTCAGCTTTAATGCAAACGTGGAATCTGTATATTTCCATTAAGGATATAGACACATTAAGTAATGAACATGAGGGGAACATGGCTGCCACTGGTGCTGCCAGTCAGTTGTAAGAGTGGGGTGCCTTACGAGTGTTCATGTTCACAAATGCAAAGTAGCCATGTCAACAAGTAGCAGATGCAAATAAAACAGCAGCTTTGAAAGTAACAAAACAGCCTTGCATGAGTGGTGAAAGTATCTATTCATCTATACATATCCCTTCCTCCAGTCCTCCCTCCAGTCTTACCTGGCCATGCCCAGACTAGAGAAGCCGGCTGGGACGATGAGTACGTCGAGGCGGGGGAAGGGATGGACCCCCAGGGTAGCGTGGGCTGCAGCCAGACAGCCAGGCAGAAGGGGGAGGATCTGGACCTGGGCCTTCTGCAGTAGAGAGGGCGGGGAAAACACCCGGTGAGGGATCACTCCTTGGCTCCAGGCAGATGGGTCGGTGAATGGACAGGGGTAATCAACATGGCAACAGGTTAAGTTGTCATCACCCAGGCCTGAGCAGTCGCTCTCAGAGTGCTTCTCATCCTTTAGGCCTGAGTAAACTAATGTAGACTGTGGGCTGGTGATGACTGGATGGTCCATGTTAGTGAATGGATTCAGGTCCAAGCTGCGTTATGGGGTGAAGGAAAAAAAGATTTAGGCTTGTATTTTCGCTATTTTCACTACAGGCTTAGAAACGAGAGAGATGGAAAGATGGAACATTGCATCACACGGGAAAGCCAGAGAAAACCCAAACATTAAATTTAATTCAACTTCCATTCAGTTACAGTAACTCCATCTTAGTATTAGAACTGCATGTGTTCAAAGACCAAAACCCAAATCTGATCCAAGTTTCCTCTCTAGCCGTTCACTGAGAATAATGGCCCTCCTTGTAACAGGAGAAGCCCTGGGGTTAACGACTGGGTATGGCTGGGTTGGAGGGAAACCATGAGAGGAGGAGGTAGAAAGGGTGGTATTACGGGAAGAATGACAGAGCTGCCAGCTTGCATGGTGGTGGAGCCCCCAAACACCAGCCTCAGCCTGTGGTGAACTCTTTAGGGCAGGGGAAAGCTCTGCTGGGGAAGACCTGGGTCTACCGCCTGGGTTGCAGGGAAACCACGAAGAGGGGAAGACGAGGGGGAGAGGAGGGGTCTTACGGGAAATAAATCATACCTGCCAGCATGCGTATGGGAGGCCCCAGCCCTTGTACCCTGCACAGGAGGGGTAAGCTGTGCTGTGGAAAGTTGTGCCGTGGCCTGGCGCCAGCAACCCACTGCCAAGGTAAAGGTGGAGGCAGGCATAGGCATAGTGACATAGTAGTCCCAACTAGAGAGACCTAGACAGAGAGAGGGAGAGAGAGAGACAGAGAGAGAGAGAAAGAGAGAGAGAGAGACCGAGAGAGAGACAGAAGGCAGAGACAGAGAGAGAGAAGGCAGAGAGACAGAGACAGAGAGAGAGAGAGAGAGAGAGAGAGAGAGAGAGAGAGAGAGAGAGAGAGAGAGAGAGAGAGAGAGAGAGAGAGAGAGAAGGCAAAGAGTGGATGAGTGGACTGGAGAACTGTAACAGTTTGCACTTATCCGCTGTACACTGATCAGGAGTGTATTACCTGTGTGGTGCAGGTGAGTGGGCTGGGCCTGCTTCTCTCCACTCAATAGAACCACACACTCCCTGGGGGCTCGTACCCGGGCCTGCCATGTCGACATTGCAACAGGAGGCTCCTGACAGGGGAAGAGGGCCCGGTTGTTGATGGGGGAGCCGGCTGTGTAAACACATGACCTAGAGGAGTAAACAGGGTAAACAACTTCCTTCATCTTACTGTCCATGGGACATGCAGACTTGGTTTATCTACTGTACAATTTGTTTCAGCCTGAGAGCAGACAGAAGGAGACAAATTGTTAACAGTCTGAGTATTAAGCACATAGAAGATAATATTTCATATCTTGATGTCCCACCTGTTGTCCTGATCTTTAGTCCACCTGACAGAGCCTCCCTCTGGCTTGGTCTCGTAGCAGACCCTCAGGGCTCGGGGGAACTCCTGGGGGGTCCGAACCCCCCTCATCCTCACCTGGAGGCTCCAGCGGTCAGTGTGGAAGATGAGGGGTCCCCCACCCTCAGAAGCAGGGGCATGACTGCACTGGAAGTACAGGTGGTGCTGCTTTTTCCATTGGGTGGAGGGGAGGGAGATCAGCCTCTGAATGAGCACAGCTGATTGGCTGTCTGGTTGTGGTTCAACCCCTGACCCCTCACCCTTGACCTCCTTTAGGAGACCCTGCATGTCCGACACAGAGGTCACGTCCAGCTCCTCTACTTTTGACACGGTGAGGTCACAGCAGTCCAGAACTAAGGTAAAGTCTCCGTGGCTCTCATCCTCCCAGGAGTCATCAGTCTGGGATGGTTGGGGTGGGGTTGGGGCACCTTCCCCATCCCCATCCCCATCCCCATCCCCATCTCCAGCCCCACGGCCTGGCTCCAGGAAGAGCACCACAGTACCAGTGATAACCTTTGTGTGAAGGTGTATGTCCAGGTCCAGGACATAGTGTCTGACCAGGATATGGTTGGTGTTGGCTCTGAGGGGCAGGTCGTCCCTGCCTGGGTCCACATCAGCATCACCATCCATTTCTCATAGGTCAGAGGTCATCTAGTGAATTCTAGAGGAACACCCAAAGTCAATCAATCAATCAATTGACAGATCATTCAATCAATTGAAAGATCAATCAATCAATATGTACAGTATACAGTACATATCAACCCTACCAGCCAGATAAGGTGGTCCACATATAGGCCTGACAAACATACAATATGACCAATCAAAAAATGGGACTGACATAACTGACATAACAAGGGACTGACATAACAAAAGAAAAACTGCTGATCCACAACCACATTTCGAAATTGCACCTTGTGTATTCTACATCTCAACACTAAGTTGAGACCCCGACTGAGTCCCCCCCCCCTACATTTTGATCCGCAGGCCTACAGGTTCAAACTTCAAAAAGCAAACAGTTTTACAATAAACTGAAGGTCCCATATGAGAGCCAGCCAGCCAGCCACTTTGCCTTTACAACCCCTAGCTAACATTTCCAATTCCCCTGCTTCAGCCCCAGAGTTATGGAGGCTTGGCAGGCCAAAGCTGCAATTACACTGTACAGTGTGAATTCCTCACACGTCTCTCCGAGAGGAAGTAGGGGAATAAAAACACAGTGACACAGAGACATACAGTGCCTTCAGAATGTATTCACACCCCTTGACTTTTTCCACATTTTGTTGTGTTACAAAGCGGGATTAAAATAGATTTTTTGGGGGTCAACGACCTACAAAAAATACTCTAAACACTAATATATTTTGATAAGATAAATATTCAACCCCCTGAGTCAAAACATGTTAGAATCACCTTTGGCAGCGATTACAGCTGTGAGTCTTTCTGGAGAAGTCTCTAAGAGCTTTGCAAACCTGGATTGTACAATATTTGCAGATTATTATCATTTTTTATTTTAAGTTACTGTCCTGCTGAAAGGTGGATTTGTCTCCAAGTGTCTGGTGGAAAGCAGACTGAACCATGTTTTCCTCTAGGACTTTGACTTTTATTTTTATCCTAAACATCTTCCTAGTCCTTGCCGATGACAAGCATACATTTTACATTTACATTTTAGTCATTTAGCAGACGCTCTTATCCTGAGCGACTTACAGTTAGTGAGTGCATACATTTTCATACTGAATACCCATAACATGATACAGCCACCACCATGCTTGAAAATATAAAGAGTGGTACTCAGTGATGTATTATGTTGGATTTGCCCCAAACATAATGCTTTGTATTCAGGACAAAAAGTGTATTTCTTTGCCACATTTTTTGCAGTAAAACTTTTGTGCCTTGGAATATTTGTATTCTGTACAAGCTTCCTTCTTTTCACTCTGTCATTTAGGTTAGTATTGTGGAGTAACTACAATGCTGTTGATCCATCCTCAGTTTTCTCCTATCACAGCCATTTAACTCTGTAACTGGTTTAAAATCACCATTGGCTTCAGGGTGAAATCCCTGAGCGGTTTCCTTACTTCCTTTCCCCGCTTTTTTTAAAACCCATCTACCAATAGGTGCCCTTCTTTGCAAGGCATTGGAAAACCTCCCTGGTCTTTGTCGTAGAATCTGTGCTTGAAATTCACTGCTCGACTGAGGGACCTTACAGATAATTGTATGTGTGAGGTACAGAGATGGAGTAGTCATTCAAAAATCATGTTAAACACCATTACTGCACACAGAGTTAGTCCAACTTATTATCTGTTACTTGTTAAGCTAATTTTTACTCCTGAAGTTATTTAGGCTTGCCATAACAAAGGGGTTGAATACTTATGGACTCAAAACATTTCAGCTTTTCATTTTTTATTAATTTGTAAACATTTCTAAAAACATAATTCTGAGTCCCACGTGGGCTACCCCCCACATTTGCTACTTATACAATATTATGGAATGTCCTTCTTTAACAGTAACAGGGCTAGTGAGAGTTTTAGTGTAGGTGGTGACAGGTTGAATACCTGCTTCATTGAGGGGATGTAATGTAAAAATGGTAACTTGTGAGACTTGTGGAGACATGTACCACTCTGTAGTAGTGGGCTACACTCAAAGGCAGCCAAGCTTATAAATCTGTGATCATGCCGAAACTGGCCCTGGTAATCTACATGAATGATCCTTCTGACAGGATTGACTAACGCCTGCATATCAGCGGTTTAAATAATTCCTGTAAAGACATCTAGCCTACGGAACAAAGAAGAACTAGAGCTTGCCGGAAATGATTTACCTCTGGTTCGTTCAGCCATCGCTATGGACAAAATGAATGAGGAAAGAATTGGGTTTTGGAATAAACACTGAACATAAGGTCTGAGGTTAACACAGGCTTATGAGAGCTTATACGTTTTGTTCTACATTTTTACATTTTAGTCATTTAGCAGACGCTCTTATCCAGAGTGACTTACAGTTAGTGAGTGCATACATTTTTCATACATATATTCTACGAGATAATATCAGTCAGTTAACATGACCTTTAGGAATTACAAAGCCTTTATGTGCCTTGTGTTTTTTTATTACATAAATGCTTCATAATTCATAAAAAGTGATGTTAGCTGATGAAGACTATCTCATAGAACAAAACGTATAAGATCTCTTAAGCTCTTCAGCCTGTGTTTACCACAGACCATATCTCCGGTGTTTATCCAAAAACCCTACAGAAACTCCATTCATTTTCCCATAGGCTTTGTTCAACGAACCATTACTATTGCTCTCCATGTTGTTTGACAGCACAGTCGTAAGTAAACCTTATGTGATGAGTACGTAGCCTACAATAATTAATACTCTGTATTGCCACTCATGCACTGAGAATAGTTGGTACTTTTACATCATGATAAATGTCACATTGACATTAATGTCAACTTGAAGGTATTTCCATCATTGAGGCATTTTGGTTCATTTAAGACTGTAGCCTAAACTCTTACTTGTTTCTGCATATTAATATATTATATTACGCTAACTGTACTTTCATTAATGTTGAGAGACGGGAGGTGGCAGGCGTTCGTCAAATAAATCATCCGATGCCGGAAAACTTACTAGAGCCTCAGCCAGATGTGCTTGGTTTTAAAACGAAAGCTGGGGTAATTTATTGACAGTGTTTTCTGTTAAAGGAGACAGACCTGTGCATTCAGTACGCAAAATCTTATAGCGAATAGGCCAACAGTAATGCTCTGTTTTGTGGACTGTCGTAGCACTAACCTTGCTGGGGTGTCAGCATCCAGTACGTTCTTATTATCAGTGATCCAGCACCCGGCACAAGCAGCACGGGAGTGTCCTTGGCAAGGGCTTATGCCGTCATATTCGGGCGACGATAAATAGATGGGTGAAAATATACAGGATGTAGTTCAATCTCAGTGCAACTTAATAAAACCTGATAATATCCACTTAAAAACCTATAAAACACTTCAGTTGTAAAAGTACATCAAAGTAACACGTGCTAAAGTATAAACCGAAAATATCAACCTAAAACTATAAATCGGGGTAGGCTGCATTTGGGGTACATGCGCGCGCTTGTACGTTGCTTGTTTTTCACGCGGGAGACACTCTGTCCATGGAGAGGGGTGGTGTATTTTCCGTTTTTTAAAATATTTTCTCAATTTGTTTAATGCTTTGCATTTTTTATGATTCAAAACGGAAAAGTTATACAATGGAAATGAGAATTATATGATGCATTATATGATAAGAGAATAAACCCAGTCATGTTTAAAATGTCTCCCGAATTAACCTACTGTACCTAGACTATTGTTGTAATCTTCCAGGTGGAGCTATATGAGCTCTTGAGCACTAGCAAAATAAAAATCAAGTTGCTTATTTGAAAATTGCAGAGGGGTATACTACGAATCTAGTTAGATCTATAGGCCTATTCAGGATCTTCAGAAGCTAGTTAGCTTTACATTCTAATTCAGGCTTCACATTCCAATTCAGGCTTCATCCATGTAACTGAAGGTGAATATTGATCCAACATTTGCAGCTAACGAGGAAAGTATATATTTTGCAAGAATGTGAATTGTGGAATCATGAGTCCTCTAGTCTAGACCTATGCTACATCTAATGATAATGTAGTGATAAGTGGAGCAATAATGACAACAGCAAAGATGTAGCCTACACATGTTAAGTTTAATTGCATCAAGTGCATGAAATTGTTGTGTGCATTACAATGTATTAAAATCCAACATTTTCAATAAAGCACTGATGAACAAATTAAAAATACAAAATGAAAAACAAGGGTTCCAGTGTTTATTGGTAGGCCACTGCCTATGTCCTATACTCTAACTTACAGTATTATTATGCAGCTACAATGTAACAGAACACAGAATAGAATGTGAATAAATACCCATAAGCAGAGCCATATATTAATATATGGCTCTTTGCCCATAAGTATTTAGAATCAGAGTATTGAGTTTTTCCAGTAGTATTAGAAAGGGCTTCTCTATTGGAATGCATGACGTTCTACAACATGACAACAACATTAACAAACAGATAAACAAGATTAAGAGCCAGGGCAAATACTTGAAAACCTTTCTTGTTGGTACAGTAAACATACATTGTAGGATGGCTTTAGTTTGGCACGGTGTTGGCATCCTAATACATAGTTTTTCAACTACAAAAATAAAACTATAGATATGTGCATTGACTTTGTCACATTTAGTCATGGTAACCAACATTGTTTCAATATTGTTATTGCCAGCTAAAGTGATGATACTGTATATTATCTAAAATATATATTTTCATTAAGAAAATCACAAAGTAATCATATCATAACTGTAAACATTTGTATTTTAATTCTCTGATGTGTCGTCTATATAGCATTTAAGTCTCTCTGTGTAAATACAGATTTGCCACTTGGGTTTGGTTGTTGATGGCATTAGTTATGTTGTATGTACCATGACTCATTTGTGAACTCATAATAAATTAATCTCTGTTAGTATCTACATAGTCAATTCTGTCAACAACAAAAAAATTATATACAGGTAAAAGTCAGTAAATTAGAATATTTTGAAAAACTTGATTTATTTCAGTAATTGCATTCAAAAGGTGTAACTTGTACATTATATTTATTCATTGCACACAGACTGATGCATTCAAATGTTTATTTCATTTAATTTTGATGATTTGAAGTGGCAACAAATGAAAATCCAAAATTCCGTGTGTCACAAAATTAGAATATTACTTAAGGCTAATACAAAAAAGGGATTTTTTAGAAATGTTGGCCAACTGAAAAGTATGAAAATGAAAAATATGAGCATGTACAATACTCAATACTTGGTTGGAGCTCCTTTTGCCTCAATTACTGCATTAATGCGGCGTGGCATGGAGTCGATGAGTTTCTGGCACTGCTCAGGTGTTATGAGAGCCCAGGTTGCTCTGATAGTGGCCTTCAACTCTTCTGCGTTGTTGGGTCTGGCATTCTGCATCTTCCTTTTCACAATACCCCACAGATTTTCTATGGGGCTAAGGTCAGGGGAGTTGGCTGGCCAATTTAGAACAGAAATACCATGGTCCGTAAACCAGGCACGGGTAGATTTTGCGCTGTGTGCAGGCGCCAAGTCCTGTTGGAACCTGAAATCTCCATCTCCATAGAGCAGGTCAGCAGCAGGAAGCATGAAGTGCTCTAAAACTTGCTGGTAGACGGCTGCGTTGACCCTTGATCTCAGGAAACAGAGTGGACCGACACCAGCAGATGACATGGCACCCCAAACCATCACTGATGGTGGAAACTTTACACTAGACTTCAGGCAACGTGGATCCTGTGCCTCTCCTGTCTTCCTCCAGACTCTGGGACCTCGATTTCCAAAGGAAATGCAAAATTTGCTTTCGTCAGAAAACATGACTTTAGACCACTCAGCAGCAGTCCAGCTCTTTTTTTCCTTAGCCCAGGTGAGACGCTTTTCGCGCTGTTTCTTGGTCAACAGTGGCTTGACACGAGGTATGCGGCAGTTGAAACCCATGTCTTTCAAGCGTCTCTTGGTGGTGGATCTTGAAGCCCTGACTCCAGCAGCTGTCCACTCCTTGTGAATCTCCCCCACATTTTTGAATGGGTTTTTTTTCACAATCTTGACTAGGGCGCGGTGATCCCTATCGCTTGTACACTTTTTCTGACCACAGTTTTTCCTTCCCTTTGCCTCTCTATTAATGTGTTTGGACACAGAGCTCTGAGAACAGCCAGCCTCTTCTGCAATAACCTTTTGTGTCTTTCCCTCCTTGTGCAATGTGTCGATGGTCGCCTTTTGGACAGCTGTCAAATCTGAAGTCTTCCCCATGTTTGTGTAGGCTTCAGAACTGGACTGAGAGACCATTTAAAGCCCTTTGCAGGTGTTTTGAGTTAATCAGCTGATTATTTTGTGGCACCAGGTGTCTTCAAAATGTAACCCTTACACAATATTCTAATTTTGTGACACACGGAATTTTGGATTTTCATTTGTTGCCACTTCAAATCATCAAAATTAAATGAAATAAACATTTGAATGCATCAGTCTGTGTGCAATGAATAAATATAATGTACAAGTTACACCTTTTGAATGCAATTACTGAAATAAATCAAGTTTTTCAAAATATTCTAATTTACTGACTTTTACCTGTATATATACAGTGGGGAGAACAAGTATTTGATACACTGCCGATTTTGCAGGTTTTCCTACTTACAAAGCATGTAGAGGTCTGTAATTTTTATAATAGGTACACTTCAACTGTGAGAGGCGGAATCAAACAGACTCCAACCTCTCCACAATGGCTAAGACCAGAGAGCTGTGTAAGGACATCAGGGATAAAATTGTAGACCTGCACAAGGCTGGGATGGGCTACAGGACAATAGGCAAGCAGCTTGGTGAGAAGGCAACAACTGTTGGCGCAATTATTAGAAAATGGAAGAAGTTCAAGATGACGGTCAATCACCCTCGGTCTGGGGCTCCATGCAAGATCTCACCTCGTGGGGCATCAATGATCATGAGGAAGGTGAGGGATCAGCCCAGAACTACACGGCAGGACCTGGTCAATGACCTGAAGAGAGCTGGGACCACAGTCTCAAAGAAAACCATTAGTAACACACTACGCAGTCATGGATTAAAATCCTGCAGCGCACGCAAGGTCCCCCTGCTCAAGCCAGCACATGTCCAGGCCCGTCTGAAGTTTGCCAATGACCATCTGGATAATCCAGAGGAGGAATGGGAGAAGGTCATGTGGTCTGATGAGACAAAAATATAGCTTTTTGGTCTAAACTCCACTCGCCGTGTTTGGAGGAAGAAGAAGGATGAGTACAACCCCAAGAACACCATCCCAACCGTGAAGCATGGAGGTGGAAACATCATTCTTTGGGGATGCTTTTCTGCAAAGGGGACAGGACGACTGCACTGTATTGAGGGGAGGATGGATGGGGCCATGTATCGCGAGATCTTGGCCAACAACCTCCTTCCCTCAGTAAGAGCATTGAAGATGGGTCGTGGCTGGGTCTTCCAGCATGACAACGACCCGAAACACACAGCCAGGGCAACTAAGGAGTGGCTCCGTAAGAAGCATCTCAAGGTGCTAGCCAGTCTCCAGACCTGAACCCAATAGAAAATCTTTGGAGGGAGCTGAAAGTCCGTATTGCCCAGCGACAGCCCCGAAACCTGAAGGATCTGGAGAAGGGCTGTATGGAGGAGTGGGCCAAAATCCCTGCTGCAGTGTGTGCAAACCTGGTCAAGACCTACAGGAAATGTATGATCTCTGTAATTGCAAACATAGGTTTCTGTACCAAATATTAAGTTCTGCTTTTCTGATGTATCAAATACTTATGTCATGCAATAAAATGCAAATTAATTACTTAAAAATCATACAATGTGATTTTCTGTATTTTTGTTTTAGATTCAGTCTCTCACAGTTGAAGTGTACCTATGATAAAAATTACAGACCTCTACATGCTTTGTAAGTAGGAAAACCTGCAAAATCGGCAGTGTATCAAATACTTTTTCTCCCCACTGTATATATATATAGTGTACAAAACATTAGGAACTCTGTCCATGACCAGGTAAATCCAGGTGAAAGCTATGATCCCTTATGAATGTCACTTGTTAAATCCTCTTCAATCAGTGTAGATGAAGGGGAGGAGACGGGTTAAAGAAGGATTTGTAAGCGTTGAGACATGGATTGTGTATGTGTGCCATTCAGAGGGTGAATGGGCAAGACAAAATATTTAAATGCCTTTGAACGGGGTATGGTAGTAGGTGCCAGACGCACACGTTTGAGTGTGTCAAGAACTGCAATGCTGCAGGGTTTTTCACGCTCAACAGTTTCCTGTGTGTATCAAGAATGGTCCAACACCCAAAGGACATCCAGCCAACTTTACACAACTGTGGGAAGCATTGGGGTCAACATGGGCCAGCATCTCTGTGGAATGCTTTTGACACCTTCTAGCCATGCCCCGACGAATTAAGGATGTTCTGAGGGCAAAAAGGGGGTGCAACTCAATATTAGGAAGGTGTTCTTAATGTTTTGTACACTCAGTATATATCAAATATAGCATCACGAATTAACTGGGGAGTTCTATTTTGACAGTGTGAGAGTCTGTAAACTTGCACACATACAAGTGCAAGTCCAGAAGCGCTTTTGCAGAGAGCAGAGTGATTTATCGTCAGTCATTTATTTAGCATGAGGCAGATTTCATGCATTCCTTTTCAGGACACTTACAAAAAGAAACCATGTTCCCATGTATTGTGGTGCACGGGCACGCATACACACACACAGTTTAGTCCCTGGGCCTGCAAGGACCTTAATGTGGGACTTTTACCTTTCTTTCTCAAACCCACAGCAGTTTGCAGCATCGTTAGGACTCGCAGTATTCATAGAACTCAAGAGAACTAGCAATACGAAAAACAGGTAAATGCCAAATTTGCTAAATATTGCTTTAGTCTACCTGCTATGTAATGTGCTCATTATGGTCTCACACGACATATTTGTGCTTCTTATAAAAAAAAGAAGAAACACCAAGCAATGACAACGTATTGCAATGTTGTTGCTTGTAAGTCCTCCATTGTGTAATCATGTGTGTTCTGCTCTTCCATGGTGAATGAGGACTGCTAGCTTCCTTCTCCCCTCTTCATCTATTTTTCTACTTTTACAACATCCTTTCTTCTCCGGCCTCTGGAGATTCTCTCAGATAGATAAGTTTGGTCGTCTCAGGAGTTTTCCTCCGGGGCTCTGCGGAAACTGAGCCGTTTGATGGAATCCCTTTGAAGGGGACAGCATAGAGGGAAAGGAGGAAACTGTTTAATTACATTTGCATGGTGGAATAGGCAACATGAAAATACTACACAGCAACTGTCAGATTCAGAAGACAGAAGAAAACAGTACTTCTGATAGGATAAACATTAAATTAAGCATTCTTATGAAACAGATTCAGGTATCAGTTGTGTTCCAAATGAACCCTAGTCCCTATATAGTGCACTACTTTTGACCAGGGCCCATAGGTTTCTGTTCAAAAATATTGTACTAAATAGGGAATGGGGTGGCATTTGGGACATACCCCAAACATCTCCCCTCACATTTGGTCCCTACTGGACTCAACCCTGCATGGCACACTTTGATGATGCGTTACCTGTAGTGGTGTGCGGGTCAGCGGTTTGTTCACCCACACCCGCTCGCAATTGCTAATAACCCATCCGCCCGACAATATGTAATAAAGTGAAAATCGGAGGCCCGCACCTGACCCTAACCCGCAAATTTAGAAAATGCGCTGTAGGCATTTCAAGATCTCTTATTTTCGAATATTTCTATCAAACAATTTTTGTTTTGGTCCCATTGTAACACAGCTGGTTACTACCTGGCGCACCACAGAACAATTCTGTAATATCTCATGTAAATGGCATGTGGGTTCCCCTATTGTCAACAACTAGGGTATTTTACTTAGTCGTCGACCAATAAGTGTTCCTCAATGGATGGATAGGGGAATTCATGTACTAAGTGATATTTACTGGGATGACGGCCTTCGTTCATTCCAAGATCTTAAAGACAGTTTTAATATACCTGCCTCATCATTTTTCTTTTATTTACAGCTTAGGTCTGTCTGCCCTTAGGGCTCATGGTGTACCTTGGCAGTCAGCTTTGATGCTGCATCCTATAGATTTTGAGTTTAAGGAGCAAAACAAAGAGTTTAGTTTCCAAAATGTATCATTTTTTACTGTCAACTTCTTATAAACCTATTCCTCTTGATCCTTTGTGGAAAAGAGACCTTCCAGGTATGGCTCAATGTTTTAGTTGCAGTTCGATGGAAGCCTCCACACTCACTCTCTATCCATCAATGAATCCTCACTTTTTGGATGTAATTTATATGGAGCTGTCTACTGCTCAGATTCATGGAGCTAAAGAAGACACTTTGAACCAAAGGCTTTCTTGCCGCTGAAACACATCATGATGTGCTGCTTTGATTTTTGTAATTTTAGTCATATTTATTTTTGAACCATGTATGGGGTGGGACTGGGATGGGGGGTGTAACTTCATTTTGTATGTATGTATTCATGTTTGCTGACTATTATTACTAAACAAAAAACATTTGATCACAAAAAAAAGAAAATGCGCTGTAGGCTACAGTCAGAGATGGCGGAACCATTTTTTGACAGGGGGTGCACTGTTTTTGTTGCCTATAATATAAATGCAACATGCAACAATTTCTAAGATTTTACTGAGTTGGAGTTCATATAAGGAAATCAGTCAATTAAAAATACATTCATTAGGCCCTAATCTATCGATTTCAAGCAGGATGTGGTCCTGGGATGGCGTGATTACACGTGTTCTGTGGTTGTGAGGCTGGTTGGTTGGAAGTACTGCCAAATTCTCTAAAACGACGTTGAACATTCAATTCTCTAGCAACAGCTCTGGTGGACATTCCTGCAGTCAGCATGCCAATTGCGCGCTCCCTCAAAACTTGAGACATCTGTGGCATTGTGTTGTGGGACAAAAAGTGGTATTTTATTGTACCCAGCACAAGGTGCACCTGTGTAATGATCATGCTGTTTAATCAGCTTCTTGATATGCCACACCTGTCAGGTGGATGGATTATCTGGGCAAAGGAGAAATGCTCACTAACAGGGATGTAAACACATTTGTACACAACATTTTTGCTAAATAAGCTTTTTGTGCAAAATGGAACATTTCTGGGATTTTTTTATTTCAGTTCATGAAACATGGAACCACCACTTTACATGTTGTATTTATAATTTTGTTCAGTGTAGATATGTTTCTGCTTATACTGTAATTTCCGACATTTTGGTAGGCTATTTGTTAGTCAACTTGTCTAACAAAAACAATTGGAAAGATTTTCTGTACAAAATATCCACATGACATCAGTTTGACTGGTTGTAAGGAAATATAAAGCTGTGAGAACGACCAAACATGTTTCTTATAAGATTTCAGTTCGGCCTGGATGCATATTTTATATGGTTGAAATACTATCAGATTTTATGATGCTGATAAAGATAGCACCTCTACAGACGGTATATAACTGCACATTCGCATTCTCTCAATGCTGAAAGAAATAAATCATATTTCTCCACTCCTGTTCCTGTTCCAGAGTCAAAATGTTCATTTGGTGTATCATTTTACTGCAGGAAATGCTAAATTCTGCAGGAGTTAATATGATGGCTATGTGAGAGGTTATCGACCTACAGTCAGTGTCCAGATTTCAGTTTCCATTTAACCCATCTGAACAGTATGCTACAGTTCCCTTGACGTGGCTTAGGCCTATTTGAAGTCCCCGTCTTGTGACTGTGGTATTTGTATAGCGCCTCACAATCATCACATAACATAGCCAGCACTGCTATCATCCTCTTTTACCACGTCACCAAATCATTCCCAAACATTACTTTTCTGGCCCTCCCTTCTCTTATATTTTCAACTCTCCATTTTGCAGCTTTTCTCTTATTGAATTAAACTCTGACATTGTCATTTTTGCCTCAGTGGATCAATGTTCACTTTTTCTGCCCGTTCCCAAAAGGTTTTCGCAATTGGTGTGTAGGCTATTTGGCACGCGTAAAGTTAGGCCCCAAAGCTTTGGTTTATGCACTAATGGCATAGCCTAAAAATAATTAAAGAAAAACTTCAATGTAGCCTATAGATATAAATTGCACAAGAATGATACATTTATGGATTTTTTAATGTATTGTTTTCTCTTTATTCAACCTGCCCGCCACCCACCCGCCCTTCATCCACACAATATTTCATGACCCTAAACCCGCCCGCTCCATGGATACAACCGCGGGGACTGTGGGTTATGAGTCAAGCCTCGCTGCACTAGTTACCTGTTCTCCAGGCGTGGTTTGATGATGGGTTTGTAGAGCTCGGGTATCTTCCTCTCCAGCATGGGCCGCAGGTTCTCTCTCAGACGGTTGTAGTTCTTCTTCAGCTCCTGCTGGTACTCCTTCTGGTCCATCGTGATCAGGTGCTTGTTCTTCTCCACAGCCTCACCACACCTAGAGGAACAGGGGGGAAAATACATACTGTAGGCTGTGTCTCAAGTCTTCTCTCATCTCCTTACATCACTCACCAATGAAAAGTCATTTCAGGTCAGTGATCTTTATGAGGACTTTCTTATTTTTTTTTCTGTTCATGCATCCAGTGTAAATTCATTTCATTTCCTTATTTTCTATTAACGGATTCCAGTTAATTTCCTGAACTAACAATGTGACCAACATGGATTTGATCCCAAATCTGTTCACATTGAAATGTATAAATGTTTTCACCTTATTAAACAACACCTGTGTGTCCATCTGTATTTGATTTGGGCTCTTTCTCTGAGCCTTGCCTCTTTAGTACAGGAATGCTCAAGGAAGAAAGGGTGTCTTGTAGAACTGTGCTGAGAGTGGCAGGGAGTAGAATGACCGATGACCAAACAAACTAGCCTGAGGTTGAACCTCATTTCAGAGGACAGGTACAGTGCGGGGTCTGCCCGCATTCACAATTACAACATGCATAATGGGCGACAGACAAATGAGGGAGAGGGAAATGGAAAGACGATGATGCTCTCCCCTTTTAGGTCAAGTAATACGGAAAATGTAATCTAACAGTATACGGTAAATGCATAGCCTAACAGTATACGGTAAATGCATAGGGACTGCTGGAAAGAAAGGGGGAAAACAAAAGCATTTAACTTCCCCCAGAAAAACTTCCAATGTGCTGATGTGTAGCTACTACTGTAGTAGCATGAGAAGGATACTATAAGGAGCTCATGCCATCTTGCATGGATTATGGAAGAAAATAAACATTTTTGAAATTACTGTAAATATTTGCCAGCCTGCTTGCAGGAATCAAGGCAGTTGGAATGTGGCATGAGGGTTCCAAAATGAAAGCCACCTTTCGGAGGCAAACGATACGTTCCCACGCGAGACACACACTCGCACACAGAGACACACACCCTGGACCAAATAACCACATCGCCTGCCTCATCCGTTTAGACGGTTGGTTTAAATTATTTGTTAAATATTACAAATAAAATGAAACTCCCCAGGGAACAATTCAACTTTTCTGTTCCATTCAAAACCAAAACACAGCTGAGTGATATTAAAGGGAAAACAACTTCTATTCATATGCCCAGTGGGAAATGAAATACTCTGTTGTGTTGTATTAAATCATGTTTTAGTTACCCGTCTAGCCTTTAGTATCACCTATGAATGTATTCCAGTAATTACACTTTACCAAGACTGAGATGCTATGTATGCATACAGTATCTCGTTTTACTGTCATTCGCTTGCTTTTCTATTTCCACCATGCGACAGCACTATTTTAGAGTGTCCTTTTCTATTTCCACCATGTGACAGTACTATTTTAGAGAGTGTCCTTTTCTATTTCCACCATGCGACAGTACCATTTTAGTGTCCTTTTCTATTTCCACCATGCGACAGTACCATTTCTCTCACCTCATTATGAACTCTTTGAAACACAGGCGCAGTTTGTTGTGGTGACGGAAGAGCTTGGGGTCCGCTGGAATCTCATTCAGAAAGACCTGGGCCACCTCCAACGGTCCCTACAGAGAGAGAGAGAGAGAGAGAGATAGAGAGAGAGCGGGAGGGAGAGAGCGAGAGAGAGCGGGAGGGAGAGAGAGAGAGAGCGGGAGGGAGAGAGCGGGAGAGAGAGAGAGAGCAGGAGGGAGAGAGAGCGGAGAGAGAAGGGAGGGAGGAGAGAGAGAATAGGGGAGAGCTGGTAGGAGAGAGGAGGAGAAGCGGGAGGTAGAGGAGAGGGAGATGTGAGAGAGAGAGGAGAAGGAGAGAATGCGAGGGGAAGGATAAGCGGTAGAGAGAAGAGAGATGGAGGAGAGGAGATGAGCAGAGAGGGAGAGAGTGGAGAGGGTGGGCGGAGAGAGGAGAGAAAAACAAAAGAGAGGAAGGAGCGGAAGAGAAAATGGGGAGAGAAAGATCTCTATATTTTAGGGATATGGTATAAGGAGGAAAGACGGAGGCGTGGGGGGAGGAGAAAGTGTGTGTGAGTGTGGATGATGAATGCCTTGCTTTCAGTAGAGGAAACTACTTCCTAACTGAAGGCTTAATAATGGCCCAAATGACACTACTTTTGACCAGAGCTTATTACATAGGCCATAGGGAACAGGGTGCCATATGAGACACAGCCAATATGTCCAAAGGCCACGATGTTCAGCCAAGAGATCAGATGAGAGAGACCCTGATTGGCCTGCTGTGTGGGTAATGTCACCACTAACCCTGCCTACAAGCAGCCATTTGGCTCACATTCATTCCCTCTCCGGGATCTTGTTATCCTAACTTATATTCATCATGAAACCACTGCACGCTCGCGTGACACCGGGTCACGCCAGGCATAGCAAACGAGCCCTGACGAGCATTCTAAGCAGAGGTGCTAGGCTAGGGCCTTGACAGATGGACAGACAGACATACATAGAGGGGAACTGTGCCTCTCTACTGATTAGGCCCAGGGCTGTGTTTGTTTATGGACGGCGTGAACATTAAGGTTGTGTATACAGACAGCAGGTGAAAGCGGGGCTGCTGTCTGATTAGACTATACAAGAGAGGGCGGGGGCCTGATGTTGTAACTACTCAAGCGTTTAGCCAACGTTTGACGTGAGCTGTAAGCCATCAGATCAAAGGGTTTCTGTGTTTAGCGCAGACATGAAAGGAGAGTTTGTGAATTAAAGTTTTAACCGAATCAGCAGAGGCACTGTACAGACTATGTTAGTGTTGAACCAAACTCTTTGATGTGTCATGTCTCCCACCTGCTGTTTATCATCACATGTTAACTTACTAGACTGGATGTTTTTTTTTGTGTGTTCATTTTAGGGGGTAGATCAGCTTAATATTGCAGATAGATTGTAACTTCCATCAATGTAATTGTCTGCATCACTTCCAATCCCCCATGTTTATATATATATATATATATATATATATATATATATACACACACACACACATATACACACACACATACAGTGAGGGAAAAAAGTATTTGATCCCCTGCTGATTTTGTACGTTTGCCCACTGACAAAGAAATTATCAGTCTATAATTTTAATGGTAGGTTCATTTGAACAGTGAGAGACAGAATAACAACAACAAAAATCCAGAAAAACGCATGTCAAAAATGTTATAAATTGATTTGCATTTTAATGAGGGAAATAAGTATTTGACCCCATCTCTCAATCAGAAAGATTTCTGGCTCCCAGGTGTCTTTTATACAGGTAACGAGCTGAGATTAGTAGCACACTCTTGTATAAAAGACACCTGTCCACAGAAGCAATCTATCAATCAGATTCCAAACTCTCCACCATGGCCAAGACCAAAGAGCCAAAGAGCTCTCCAAGGATGTCAGAGACAAGATTGTAGACCTACACAAGGCTGGAATGGGCTACAAGACCATCGCCAAGCAGCTTGGTGAGAAGGTGCAATTATTCGCAAATGGAAGAAAGACAAAAGAACTGTCAATCTCCCTCGGCCTGGGGCTCCATGCAAGATCTCACCTTGTGGAGTTGTAATGATCATGAGAACGGTGAGGAATCAGCCCAGAACTACACGGGAGGATCTTGTCAATGATCTCAAGGCAGCTGGGACCATAGTCACCAAGAAAACAATTGGTAACACACTACGCCGTGAAGGACTGAAATCCTGCAGCGCCCGCAAGGTCCCGCTGCTCAAGAAAGCACATATACAGGGCCGTCTGAAGTTTGCCAATGAACATCTGAATGATTCAGAGGAGAACTGGGTGAAAGTGTTGTGGTTAGATGAGACCAAAATGGAGCTCTTTGGCATCAACTCAACTCGCCGTGTTTGGAGGAGGAGGAATGCTGCCTATGACCCCAAGAACACCATCCCCACCGTCAAACATGGAGGTGGAAACATTATGCTTTGGGGGTGGTTTTTCTGCTAAGGGGACAGCACAACTTCACCGCATCAAAGGGACGATGGACGGGGCCATGTACCGTCAAATCTTGGGTGAGAACCTCCTTCCCTCAGCCAGGGCATTGAAAATGGGTCGTGGATGGGTATTCCAGCATGACAATGACCCAAAATACACGGCCAAGGCAACAAAGGAGTGGCTCAAGAAGAAGCACATTAAGGTCCTGGAGTGGCCTAGCCAGTCTCCAGACCTTAATCCCATAGAAAATCTGTGGAGGGAGCTGAAGGTTCGAGTTGCCAAACGTCAACCTCGAAACCTTAATGACTTGGAGAAGATCTGCAAAGGGGAGTGGAACAAAATCCATCCTGAGATGTGTGCAAACCTGGTGGCCAACTACAAGAAATGTCTGACCTCTGTGATTGCCAATAAGGGTTTTGCCACCAAGTACTAAGTCATGTTTTGCAGAGGGGTCAAATACTTATTTCCCTCATTAAAATGCAAATCAATTTATAACATTTTTGACATGCGTTTTTCTGGACTTTTTTGTTGTTATTCTGTCTCTCACTGTTCAAATAAACCTACCATTAAAATTATAGACTGATCATGTCTTTGTCAGTGGGCAAACGTACAAAATAAGCAGGGGGTCAAATACTTTTTTCCCCTCACTGTACATACACATACAGTGGGGAGAACAAGTATTTGATACCCTGCTGATTTTGCAGGTTTTACTACTTACAAAGCATGTAGAGGTCTGTAATTTTTTATCATAGGTACACTTCAACTGTGAGAGACGGAATCTAAAACAAAAATCCAGAAAATCACATTGTATGATTTTTAAGTAATTAATTTGCATTTTATTGCATGACATAAGTATTTGATACATCAGAAAAGCAGAACTTAATATTTGGTACAGAATACTTTGTTTGCAATTACAGAGATCATACGTTTCCTGTAGTTCTTGACCAGGTTTGCACACACTGCAGCAGGGATTTTGGCCCAGTCATCCATACAGACCTTCTCCAGATCCTTCAGGTTTCGGGGCTGTCGCTGGGCAATACGGACTTTCAGCTCCCTCCAAAGATGTTCTATTGGGTTCAGGTCTGGAGACTGGCTAGGCCACTCCAGGACCTTGAGATGCTTCTTACGGAGCCACTCCTTAGTTGCCCTGGCTGTGTGTTTCGGGTCGTTGTCATGCTGGAAGAACCAGCCACGACCCATCTTCAATGCTCTTACTGAGGGAAGGAGGTTGTTGGCCAAGATCTCGCGATACATGGCCCCATCCATCCTCCCCTCAATACGGTGCAGTCGTCCTGTCCCCTTTGCAGAAAAGCATCCTCAAATAATGATGTTTCCACCTCCATGCTTCACGGTTGGGATGGTGTTCTTGGGGTTGTACTCATCCTTCTTCTTCCTCCAAACACGGCGAGTAGAGTTTAGACCAAAAAGCTCTATTTTTGTCTCATCAGACCACATGACCTTCTTCCATTCCTCCTCTGGATCATCCAGATGGTCATTGGTGTGCGCTGCAGGATTTTAATCCATGACGGCGTAGTGTGTTACTAATGGTTTTCTTTGAGACTGTGGTCCCAGATCTCTTCAGGTCATTGACCAGGTCCTGCCGTGTAGTTCTGGGCTGATCCCTCACCTTCCTCATGATCATTGATGCCCCATGAGGTGAGATCTTGCATGGAGCCCCAGACCGAGGGTGATTGACCGTCATCTTGAACTTCTTCCATTTTATAATAATTGCGCCAACAGTTGTTGCCTTCTCACCAAGCTGCTTGCCTATTGTCCTATAGCCCACCCCAGCCTTGTGCAGGTCTACAATTGTATCCCTGATGTCCTTACACAGCTCTCTGGTCTTGGCCATTGTGGAGAGGTTGGAGTCTGTTTGATTGAGTGTGTGGACAGGTGTCTTTTATACAGGTAACGAGTTCAAACAGGTGCAGTTAATACAGGTAATGAGTGGAGAAGAGGAGGGCTTCTTAAAGAAAAACTAACAGGTCTGTGAGAGCCGGAATTCTTACTGGTTGGTAGGTGATCAAATACTTATGTCATGCAATAAAATGCAAATTAATTATTTAAAAACCATACAATGTGATTTTCTGGATTTTTGTTTTAGATTCCGTCTCTCACAGTTGAAGTGTACCTATGATAAAAATTACAGACCTCTACATGCTTTGTAAGTAGGAAAACCTGCAAAATCGGCAGTGTATCAAATACTTGTTCTCCCCACTGTACATATCCTTTAAAAAAAATATATATTCCCTTTATTACTTTCCAACCCCACCACCCTTTCCCTAATTGGAGTAAACTAGTGAACAACAATGCTCAGGCATCTACTTCCAGCTTATACTTACTATATACATTTTATGGACACAGTCAATTTTACAATAGATATTTTATTAGTTTTTTCTCCTAAACCTCTTCTACTCTCAACCTCTCTGATCATTTTCATGATGTCCATCCGGTTTGCTTCTATATGCCATATCTTTCTAACTGTGCTCTTTCACAAAAGCTCCCAACCTACAACTTATATACTTATTATGGACACAGTATGCTTACATTATTAGTTATCTTGTTATTAGTTGTTGTTAGTTGTTATTAGTCCCATCCTTCAACTCCATTCAACACCACCAATCTATCTCTTAACACCATCCATATAGGATTTCTATTTGCCATATATTTTTTAACTGTACTGTGATGTTTTACAAAAGTTCTGAACCCTTCTATTCTCATTGTTTCTACAAATTGTAAATAAACATTTTTGATAAAAGTATTATTATATTATTGATCGATTGACTATGACTTTTCAGATCACCCAGTAAGGCTATCTGCAAGGTTAGCTCCAGGTAAATATTGCAATCCTTTAGCCATTCCTGGACCTGTGTCCAAAAACAAGCTACAAATGGACAGTACCAAAACAAATGATCTAATGATTCGGTCTCTTCGCAGCAAAATCTGCAGAGCTGGGAAGATTGTATCTCCCATATAAATAACATTCTATTGGTAGCAAGAATTCTATATAATAATTTAAATTGAAAGATTCTAAGTTTTGAATCCGGTGTCGTTTTGCGTATCAGTTCATAAACACTATGCCATGGGATTGGTAGTCAAAAATCTCTTCAACTATTTTGCAATCTATATGGGACGGCTGTCAATCCTTTGGTCCTTAAATAAAACTGGTATACTTTTTTATTTATCACAGTTTTCTTTAACCAATTATGTTCTTTAATGCAAGGCCGACAGACAAGTTCCTTACTTTCTCCCCCTTCCACTTTCCTCTTCCATTTTTGCGGTAAGGCTGCAATTATTTGGTTGTAATTTTGGGTAGAGCAGACATTTCCATATGTTTTTGTTAGCTGCATGTGCGACATAACTCCAGTCCTACCGATGATATCATTTACGAAGATTATACCTTTTTTAAACATTTTGTCAAAAAAAAAGGTTTTTTGTCAATTAGTATATTTGAGTTTAACCACAATATTTGTTGCATTATTTGTTCTGTCGTTCCTGGAGGATTAAATTGAAATTGCAACCAACTTTCTATGGCTTGTTTTAGAAATAGTGATATTTGGGAGATGATTTCCTTTTCAAATAACTGAAAGTGAGCGGTTGTAATCTGAATAAAGGGAAAAAGGCCATTCTTGAACATTGGGTGAGACAATCTTACTAATTTGCTAGAGAACCAGTTCGTATGACTGAAGCTTTTAGTGATAGGTCTAATGCTTTAATATTTAATAATTTCTGTCCTCCGAATTCATATTCATTATATAAATAGGCCCGTTTAATTTTGTCTGGCTTGCCGTTCCAAATAAAGACTGGATGTTTCCTCTAGATTCAGGAGGATTCAGGAGAATACAACGATTACCTACTATATACACTATGCAACCACGTCCGTTGGCTTTTCACACTGGTTTTTGTCTTTATTTGTTGTGTGGAGTCGATGAGTAACTTTCAATAATTGAGTAACAGTAATAAGTCAGCAATAGTTCTATGTTAAACTGCCAATGCAAAAGTTGAGAGGCAGGAAAACATCTCCTTTCTAAGGGGCCATGACAGGTGGCTGGAGGTACCTGGTTGACGGTGGCTCCCACAGAGCCCTGTAGAAGCATCTGGAGCATCTTAGCATCGGGCTGCTCCCTGTGTGTGGCTACCGCTAGCTCCCTGGTCTTCTTCTGCATGTCCTCGATGGCCACCTCAATGGGAGTCAGGTCAAACTGGAGATGGGAGGAGGGGGGAGGTTAGAGGGAGGATATTGAAAGGGGGAGGGTACGAGTTAGATTTGGAGAGATAAAAATATCAGTATTTTTGCCTAAAAGTCAGTAACGACCAAAAGGCAAAGAGGAACCCAGCATTGAGAAGCTGTGTCTGAATACGCTTTGTTCTACCAGCATACCTCTTCTTTCTGGATGACGTTGATGCGTGTCTTGATGTAGGGGAAGGCGTGCATGGTGGTGAGGATGGTCTTCCTCTTGTACTGCTCGTTGAGTTCGCCGCGCGGCCGCCCGGCCTTGGTGAAGGGTGTAGTGTACATGAAGCGACGCAGGTTGAAGTTCTTCTCAAAGTTGGTCAGGCGGTTTTTCATCTCATAATCGTCAAAGAAGGGCTCCACATAGGTGATCTGGATGTAGGCCTGGGGGAGGGAGGGAGGGAGGGAGGGAGAGGGAGAGGGAGGAAAGAGAAGGAAGTGCAGAGAAAGAAAGAGAGGGAGGGAGAGAAGGAGGTGGAGAAAGAGAGAAGAAGAAGAGATGCATCTAGTTGTTTGGGTTCCTCTCAATAATTGGACATTATGCAAGTCAGAGAAGGTAGTCAAACGGGACACAGCAGGAACACAGTGTGGATGACTTGGTGGTGTAGTGTCATACTGTACCTTGTTAGCATCTAGTTTGCTCCTGTCTATGTCTTTGGAGTCTTTGATCATCTCCAGGGCATCTCCAAAACACTGACTGTAGAAGTTCTACAACAGCAATGCATACAGTACTCATATGAATAGATACACTACTCATATGAATAGATACACTACTCATATGAATAGATACACTACTCATATCCTTACAGTAAAAGCATGTACACAAGGGTGCGCAAACAAACACATACACGCACTCTCTTACCTCCAGTCTGTGGGATATCTCTGGCAGGTGGGTGATCCCTGGCTCCTTGTAAACAAACTCTCGTTCGTCCAGGTCTCCAAACTTGGCCCCATAAAAACCCACCCGGAAATATGTCCCAAACATCCTCTTATGGCCCTGGGACAACAAGAGAAACACATAATGAAAGAGACTCAGTATTGAGTCTTTTAACAAAAAACATGTGCTATTGTAATTGTAAGCATTTCACCATAATTGTAAACACTTCATATGTACTGTGACTGTAAGCCCTTCATAAACAGTAGTCCATGCTGCTGTCTGTACCTTCTGAATGATGTAGTCGAAGGCTCTCTGCAGTTTGTGGTGAGCGGAGCCCAGCTCCCGGAAATCTCTGTGAGCCTCCAGGATAGGCATAATGATCTTATACACCTCATTCACTGCCTCATAAAGACCACCCTGAAAACAACAGCAACGACACTCACAACATACACTACATGGCCAAAAGTGTGCGGACACATGCTCGTCGAACATATCATTCCAGAATCATGGGCATTAATATGGAGATAGTCCCCCCCCTTTGCTGCGATAACAGCCTCCACTCTTCTGGGAAGGTTTTCCACTAGATGTTGGAACATTGCTGCAGGGGATTTGCTTCCATTCAGCCACAAGAGCGTTAGTGAGGTCGGGCACGGATGTTGGGGCGATTAGGTCTGGCTCACAGTTGGCGTTCCAATTCATCCCAAAGGTGTTCTATTGATGTGTGTTTATGTAAGTGCAGCAGAACCATTATTTAGCATACGCATGTCCTCCCCTCAGTGTGTGGGTGTGTGTGTGTGTGTGTGTGTGTGTGTGTGTGTGTGAGAGAGAGAGAGACGTACGTTGCTGAAGAGTTCTGCAGCCTGCTCCAGTAGGCCCACCAAACCACTGGTGGTGAAGTATCGTCCTGAACAGACCCCGTCTTCGTCTGGGGACAGGATGTCATCTGACACTGCCGACTCCTCCAGAACGTTGGGAGAGATGTTCTATACAACCAATCAACCAAGAAATCAATCAATCAACCAATCACTCATCAAGCATGTTACAAATGGAATTCATCAATCAATAAACTAACCAATCAGATTCATCCAGCATATTACAAAAGGGAATCAACCAACCAACCAACCAACCAATCAACTATTACTGATATAGCGTTTTTTACAAAAACATTTGTCACAAAGTGATTAACCAAGATACCAGCCAAACAATGAAGCGATCAATATATTACGTTTTCAGTGAACAGTTCCCCCTTCTGGCCACAGTCAACATACCAACATTTCCAGAATAAGTATTGTTTGTGCGTGTACAGTATAGGTACCCACCTGAAAGGTGACACTGCCCACAGGTAGGTATTTGTGGTCCTCTAGCATGCTGAGGTATTCAGCAACCAGGGCTGCAGCGTGGACCAGACACATGGCAGACTCTGTAAAACACTTCCTGTTCTTGTGTTTCTCCGCCATGTTCTGCAGCCAGGTCAACCTCAGGTCAGGAGACGTCTGGTAACCTTTCGCTATCCTGGAGACGGAGGGAGGGAGGAAGTGTGTGAGTGATGCTGAATTCCAAACCAACCCCTGTCCCCTAGCCCTGATTTGGGGTGAGGAGGGCTGGGGGTCAGTTTTAGGTAGCCAAATGTACATTTTAGCTTTAATGACCTTTTACAGATGCAGAATGTAAGCAGATGACACATGCACTGAGAGAGTATGCATTCACACCCACACAAACAAAGTGTATGTATTTACTGTCTATACAAAAACCCAGATCACTGTACCAAACTGCTACCACATGGTTTCCATAGTGAGGAACAAACAGAGGAGAAACAACCAAACCACAGAGAAATAGACCCAGGAGCACAACACACATAGAGACATAAAGCTGGAGTGCGTGTGTATGTGTACCTATACATGAGGTCCATGAGCATCTCTGGGTCTTCTTGGAACTCTCTCATCTTCACCGTGTCTGACAGGATACTGTTCAGGTTCCTCAGCAGCTCATCAACCTACACACATGCACACACACAGGCTTGGGTCGATATCAACATGTTTATTCTTTATTTATTTTTATTTTTTAGGGGGTAGATCAGCTTTAATATTGCAGATAGATTGTAACTTCCATCAATGTCATTGTCTGCATCACTTCCAATCCCCCATATATTTTTATTCGCTAATATATATATATATATATATATACACAGTTGAAGTCGGAGGTTTACATACACATTACTTGTTAACAAACTATAGTTTTGGCAAGTCGGTTAGGACATCTATTTTGTGCATGACACAAGTAATTTTTCCAACAATTACATTTTAGTCATTTCGCAGACCCTCTTATCCAGAGCGACTTACAGTTAGTGAGTGCATACATTTTCATACTGGCCCCCCGTGGGAAACGAACCCACAACCCTGGCGTTGCAAGCGCCATGCTCTACCACTGTATCACAGTTCCAGTGGGTCAGACGTTTACATACACTAAGTTGACTGTGCCTTTAAACAGCTTGGAAATTTCCAGAAAATGATGTCATGGCTTTAGAAGCTTCTGATAGGCTAATTGACATCATTTGAGTCAATTGGAGGTGTACCTGTGGATGTATTTCAAGGCCTACCTTCAAACTCAGTGCGCCTCTTTGCTTGACATCATGGGAAAATCAAAAGAAAATCAGCCAAGACCTCCTAGAGATGAACGTACTTTGGTGTGAAAAGTGCAAATCAATCCCAGAACAACAGCAAAGGACCTTGTGAAGATGCTGGAGGAAACAGGTACAAAAGTATCTATATCCACAGTAAAACGAGTCCTCTATCGACATAACCTGAAAGGCTGCTCAGCAAGGAAGAAGCCACTGCTCCAAAACCGCCATAAAAAAGCCAGACTACGGTTTGCAACTGCCCATGGGGACAAAGATCATACTTTTTTGAGAAATGTCCTCTGGTCTGATGAAACAAAAATATAACTGTTTGGCCATCGTTATGTTTGGAGGAAAAAGGGGAACGCTTGCAAGCCAAAGAACACCATCCCAACCGTGAAGCATGGGGGTGGCAGCATCATGCTGTGGGGGTGCTTTGCTGCAGGAGGGACTGGTGCACTTCACAAAATAGATGGCATCATGAGGAAGGAAAATTATGTGGATATATTGAAGCAACATCAAGACATCATTCTGGAAGTTAAAACTTGGTCGCAAATGGGTCTTCCAAATGGACAATGATACTTCCAAAGTTGTGGCAAAATGGCTTAAGGACAACAAAGTCAAGGTATTGAAGTGGCCATCACAACTACCCGAAACGTTTGACCCAAGTTAAACAATTTAAAGGCAATGCTACCAAATACTAATTGAGTGTATGTAAACTTCTGACCCACTGGGAATGTGATGAAAGAAATAAAAGCTGAAATAAATCACTCTCTACTATTATTCTGACATTTCACATTCTTAAAATAAAGTGGTGATCCTAACTGACCTAAGACAGGGAATCTTTACTAGGTTTAAATGTCAGGAATTGTGGAAAAACTGAGTTTAAATGTATTTGGCTAAGGTGTATGTAAACTTCCGACTTCAACTGTACATACTAAACTCAGCAAAAAAAGAAACGTCCTCTCACAGTCAACTGCGTTTATTTTCAACAAACTTAACATGTGTAAATATTTGTATGAACATAAGATTCAACAACTGAGACATAAACTGAACAAGTTCCACAGACATGTGACTAACAGAAATGGAATGTGTCCCTGAACAAAGGGGGGGGTCAAAATCAAAAGTAACAGTCAGTATCTGGTGTGGCCACCAGCTGCATTAAGTACTGCAGTGCATCTCCTCCTCATGGACTGCACCAGATTTGCTAGTTTTTGCTGTGAGATGTTATCCCACTCTTCCACCAAGGCACCTGCAAGTTCCCGGACATTTCTGGGGGGAATGGCCCTAGCCCTCACCCTCCGATGCAACAGGTCCCAGACGTGCTCAATGGGATTGAGATCCAGGCTCTTCGCTGGCCATGGCAGAACACTGACATTCCTGTCTTGCAGGAAATCACGCACAGAACGAGCAGTATGGCTGGTGGCATTGTCATGCTGGAGGGTCATGTCAGGATGAGCCTGCAGGAAGGGTACCACATGAGGGAGGAGGATGTCTTCCCTGTAACGCATAGCGTTTATATTTCCTGCAATGACAACAAGCTCAGTCCAATGATGCTGTGACACATCGCCCCAGACCATGACAAACCCTCCATCTCCAAATCCATCCAGCTCCAGAGTACAGGCCTTGGTGTAACGCTCATTCCTTCGACGATAAATGCGAATCCGACCATCACCCCTGGTGAGACAAAACCGCGACTCGTCAGTGAAGAGCACTTTTTGTCAGTCCTGTCTGGTCCAGCAACGGTGGGTTTGTGCCCATAGGCGACGTTGTTGCCGGTGATGTCTGGTGAGCACCTGCCTTACAACAGGCCTACAAGCCCTCAGTCCAGCCTCTCTCACCCTATTGCTGACAGTCTAAGCACTGATGTAGGGATTGTGCGTTCCTGGTGTAACTCGGACAATTGTTGTTACCATCCTGTACCTGTCCCCACAGGTGTGATGTTCGGATGTACCAATCCTGTGCAGGTGTTGTTACACGTGGTCTGCCACTGCGAGGATGATCAGCTGTCTGTCCGGTCTCCCTGTAGCGCTGTCTTAGGCGTCTCACAGTACGGACATTGCAATTTATTGGCCACATCTGCAGTCCTCATGCCTCCTTGCAGCATGCCTAAGGCATGTTCACACAGATGAGCAGGGACCCTGGGCATCTTTCTTTTGGTGTTTTTCAGAGTCAGTAGAAAGGCTCTTTAGTGTCCTAAGTTTTCATACAGTGAGGGAAAAAAGTATTTGATCCCCTGCTGATTTTGTACGTTTGCCCACTGACAAAGAAATGATCAGTCTATAGTTTTAATGGTAGGTTTATTTGAACAGTGAGAGACAGAATAACAACAAAAACATCCAGAAAAATGCATGTCAAAAATGTTATAAATTGATTTGCATTTTAATGAGGGAAATAAGTATTTGACCCCCTCTCAATCAGAAAGATTTCTGGCTCCCAGGTGTCTTTTATACAGGTAACGAGCTGAGATTAGGAGCACACTCTTAAAGGGAGTGCTCCTAATCTCAGTTTGTTACCTGTATAAAAGACACCTGTCCACAGAAGCAATCAATCAATCAGATTCCATACTCTCCACCATGGCCAAGACCAAAGAGCTCTCCAAGGATGTCAGGGACAAGATTGTAGACCTACACAAGGCTGGAATGGGCTACAAGACCATCGCCAAGCAGCTTGGTGAGAAGGTGACAACAGTTGGTGCGATTATTCGCAAATGGAAGAAACACAAAAGCACTGTTAATCTCCCTTGGCCTGGGGCTCCATGCAAGATCTCACCTCGTGGAGTTGCAATGATCATGAGAACGGTGAGGAATCAGCCCAGAACTACACGGGAGGATCTTGACAATGATCTCAAGGCAGCTGGGACCATAGTCACCAAGAAAACAATTGGTAACACACTACGCCGTGAAGGACTGAAATCCTGCAGCGCCCGCAAGGTCCCCCTGCTCAAGAAAGCACATATACAGGCCTGTCTGAAGTTTGCCAATGAACATCTGAATGATTCAGAGGAGAACTGGGTGAAAGTGTTGTGGTCAGATGAGACCAAAATTGAGGTCTTTGGCATCAACTCAACTCGCCGTGTTTGGAGGAGGAGGAATGCTGCCTATGACCCCAAGAACACCATCCCCACGTCAAACATGGAGGTGGAAACATTATGCTTTGGGGGTGTTTTTCTGCTAAGGAGACAGGACAACTTCACCGCATCAAAGGGACGATGGACGGGGCCATGTACCGTCAAATCTTGGGTGAGAACCTCCTTCCCTCAGCCAGGGCATTGAAAATGGGTCGAAACCTTAATGACTTGGGCAAACCTGGTGGCCAAGTACAAGAAACTTCTGACCTCTGTGATTGCCACCAAGTACTAAGTCATGTTTTGCAGAGGGGTCAAATACTTATTTCCCTCATTAAAATGCAAATCAATTCATAACATTTTTGACATGCGTTTTTCTGGATTTTTTTGTTGTTATTCTGTCTCTCACTGTTCAAATAAACCTACCATTTAAATTATACAGCTATTATTTGCGAATAATCGCACCAACTGTTGTCACCTTCTCACCAAGCTGCTTGGCGATGGTCTTGTAGCCCATTCCAGCGTGTAGGTCTACAATCTTGTCCCTGACAACCTTGGAGAGCTCTTTGGTCTTGGCCATGGTGGAGAGTTTGGAATCTGATTGATTGATTGCTTCTGTGGACAGGTGTCTTTTATACAGGTAACAAACTGAGATTAGGAGCACTCCCTTTAAGAGTGTGCTCCTAATCTCAGCTCGTTACCTGTATAAAAGACACCTGGGAGCCAGAAATCTTTCTGATTGAGAGGGGGTCAAATACTTATTTCCCTCATTAAAATGCAAATCAATTTGTTGTTATTCTGTCTCTCAATGTTAAAATAAACCTACCATTACAATTATAGACTGATCATTTCTTTGTCAGTGGGCAAACGTACAAAATCAGCAGGGGATCAAAATATTTTTTCCCTCACTGTATATGCCATATCTTTCAAACTGTGCTCTTAACCTATAACCTACATACTTATTATGGACACAGTATGTTTTACATGAGTTATCTTGTTGTTGTTAGTTGATATCAACATGTTTGTGAATGGCATTACCTCAGTCTGTGTGTGTGCGCGCATGTGTGTTACCTGTGAGAGAAGAGGTGTGTTCTGCATCTCCGTGTCCTCCTCTGCGTAGGCCAGTATGGTGCGTAGGGACCTGCGGAGGTACTCCTCATGGAAGTCCTCTGACTTCCCCACCAGAGAGGCTAGAGACATGGTCACCTGCATCTTCACCCGGGAGAAGTTCTACACAGGGAGGGAGACAGGGACAGGCATGAGTATCAGGGGTTAGGGGTGACCGAGACCCAAATTGCACCCTATTACATACAATAATAAAGATATAAAACTAGAGCCTGCAGGACTTGCTTTGTGGAGTGTGGTGTCAAAAAAGCATAGCATCTCTTTATCACGGAGAGACCGCTCCCCATCTTTACAACCATTGAATCTATTTGTTTTGACTATGACAGTCAACTTGCTCAACAGCCACATTATTCATTACCAGATTCAGCTGAGGTCTACAACTTTAGGGAATGATTTGTACCAAATACAACGCTTTTAGTTTTAGAGATGTTCAGGACAGTAACAATGGTTAACGTTACAGTTTTATTAACATGGCTGGCTGTATTCATAAAAAGCAAGCTATAAAAAGCACATATTAAAGAATGATATGACATTGTTCAGTCGTGTATTGGCTAATAAAGTAGACTTTGGGGTTGTAAATATTCCCCTTTAAGTGTCTATCTGTTGGTCTACTACTTGCACGCCTGTGTGTGACTCTCTCCGTCTCTCTAGGCCCGTCTCTCTAGGCGTCTCTGTCTAGGTCTGTCTCTCTAGGTCTGTCTCTGTCTCTCTAGGTCTGTCTCTGTCTCTCTAGGTCTGTCTCTGTCTCTCTAGGTCTGTCTCTGTCTCTCTAGGTCTGTCTCTGTCTCTCTAGGTCTGTCTCTGTCTAGGTCGGTCTAGGTCTGTCTCTGTCTAGGTCTGTCTCTCTAGGTCTGTCTCTCTAGGTCTGTCTCTGTCCTTCTAGGTCTGTCCGTCTCTCTAGGTGTGTCTGTCTCTCTAGGTCAGTCTGTGTCTAGGTCTGTCTCTGTCTGTCTCTGTCTCTAGGTCTGTCTTGTCTAGGTCGGTCTCTGTCTCTCTAGGTCTGGTCTCTGTCTAGGTGTTTCGGTGTCTCTAGGTCTGTCTGCTCTAGGCGTCTGTCTCTCTAGGTCTGTCGTCTCTAGGCGTCTCTCTAGGTCGTCTCTGTCTCTCTAGGTCTGTCTGTCTCTCTAGGTTCTCGTCTCTGTCTAGGTCGTCTGTCTCTCTAGGTCTGTCTCTGTCTGGGTCGGTCTAGGTGTCTCTGTCTAGGTCTCTGTCTCTCTAGGTCGTCTCGTGTCTAGGCGTCGTCTAGGTCTCGTCTCATGTCTAGGTCTGTCTCTCTAGTGTCTGTTCTGTCTCGTCTGTCTGTCTCTCGTTCTAGGTCTGTCTCTCTAGGCTCTGTCTCTCTAGGCTCAGTCGTCTTCTAGGTCTCTAGTTGGTCTCTAGGTCTAGTCGTGTCTAGGTCTGTCTCTGTCTAGGTCGGTCTGTCTGTCTAGGTCTCGGTTTGCTTCGGTGTCTAGGTCTGTCTCTCTCGTCTTCTCAGGCGTCTCTCTAGGCCGTCTCTTAGCGTCTAGTGTCTCTCTAGGTCGGTCTAGGTGTCTCTGTCTCTCTAGGTCGGTCTGGGTCTGTGTCTCTCTAGGTCGGTCTAGGTCTCTGTCTCTCTAGGTCGGTCTGGCTCTGTCTCTCTAGGTCGGTCTGGCTCTGTCTCTCTAGGTCGGTCTGGCTCTGTCTCTCTAGGTCTGTCTAGGTCGGTCTAGGTGTCTCTGTCTAGGTCTGTCTCTGTCTAGGTCTCGGGCTGTTTCGGTGTCTATGTCTAGGTCTGTCTCTCTAGGTCGGTCTCTGTCTAGGTCGGTCTCCGTCTACGTCGGTCTCTGTCTAGGTCGGTCTAGGTCTCTGTCTAGGTCGGTCTAGGTCTCAGTCTAGGTCGGTCTCTGTCTAGGTCGGTCTAGGTCTCTGTCTAGGTCGGTCTAGGTCTCGGTCTAGGTCTCCGTCTAGGTCGGTCTCCGTCTAGGTCGGTCTAGGTCTCTGTCTAGGTCGGTCTAGGTCTCTGTCTAGGTCGGTCTAGGTCTCTGTCTAGGTCGGATTAGGTCTCTGTCTAGGTCGGTCTAGGTCTCGGTCTAGGTCTCTGTCTAGGTCTGCCTCTCTAGGTCTAGGTGTCTCTGTCCACGTCTGTCTCTGTCTCTCTAGGCCCGTCTGTCTCTGTCTCTCTAGGCCCGTCTGTCTCTGTCTCTCTCGGCCGGTGGGTCCGTCTCTCTCGGCCGGTCGGTCCGTCTCTCTGGTCGTCGTCTCGTCTCTCGGGTCGGTCCGTCTCTCTGTGCCGTCTGTCGTCTCTCCGGTCTGTTGTTCGTCTCTCTAGGTCGTCTGTCTCGTCTCTCTAGGTCTGGTCGTCTCGGTCTGTCTCTCTAGGTCTGCTGTCTCTGTCTCTCTAGGTCTGTCTGTCTCTGTCTCTCTAGGTCTGTCTGTCTCTGTCTCTCTAGGTCTGTCTGTCTCTGTCTCTCTAGGTCTGTCTGTCTCTGTCTCTCTAGGTCTGTCTGTCTCTGTCTCTCTAGGTCTGTCTGTCTCTGTCTCTCTAGGTCTGTCTGTCTCTGTCTCTCTAGGTCTGTCTGTCTCTGTCTCTCTAGGTCTGTGTCTCTGTCTCTCTAGGTCGTCTGTCTCTGTCTCTCATAGGGTTTGTCTGGTCGGTCTAGTGTCTCTCTAGGTCTGTTGGTCGGTCTCTAGGTGTCTCTGTCTAGGTCTGTCTCTGTTCTCTAGGTGTCTGTCTCGTTGTCGGTCTGTAGGTGCGTGTAGTCTGTCGGTCTCTGGTCTAGGCGGTCTAGGGCTGTCTAGGTCGGTCTCTGTCTAGGTCGGTCTCTGTCTAGGTCGGTCTCTGGTTAGGTCTCTGTTAGGTCGGTCTGGTGGTGGTTCTAGGGTTCGGTTAGGTGTCTCTGTCTAGGTCGTCTCTGTCTAGGGTCAGGTCTCTGTCTAGGTCGGTCTCGTCTGTCTAGGTCGTCTCTGTTAGGTCGGTCGGTCTGTCTGTGTAGGTCTGTCTCTGTTGTAGGTGGTCTCTGTTAGGTCGGTCTTGTGTGGTCGGTCTCTGGTAGGTCGGTCTCTGTCCGGTCTAGGTCTCTGTTAGGTCGGTCTAGGCTCTGTTGGGTCTGGTCTCTGTTAGGTCGGTCTCTGTGTAGGTCTGGTCTCTGCTTAGGTCGTGTCCTCTTGTAGGTCGTGTCTCTGTCATCGTCTCTGGTCTCTCTAGGCTGTCTGTCTGTCTCTCTAGGTCGTCTGTCTCTGCTCTCTAGGTCTGTCTGGTCTCTTCGTAGGTCGGTCTGGTCTCTAGGTGTGTTCGTCGTCTGTCTCTAGGTCTGTCTGTCTGCTCTCTAGGTCTGTCCGCTCTTGTCGGTCTGTCGTTCTCTGTCTCTAGGTTGTCGGTCTCGTCGGTCTCTAGGTCTTGCCTCTAGGTCTGCTCTGTCTAGGTCTGCTCTATCTGTCAGGTCTGCCTCTAGGGTCTGCGTCTCGTCAGGTCTGCTTCTGTCTCTAGGTCGTCTAGGTCTCTGTCTGGTAGCGGTCTGTCTTCGGTCGTCTGTCTCTGTCTCTTAGGTCGGTCGTCCCGTCTCTTGTCAGGTCTGGCTCCGCTTCTCTGTCCAGGTTGCGTCTCTGTCCAGGTCTGGCCCCTTCTGTCCAGGTCTGTCCAGGTCTGTCCCTCTCGGTCCAGGTCTGGCCCGGTCTGTCCCTCTCGGTCCAGGTCTGTCCCTCTCGGTCCAGGTCTAGCCTGGTCTGTCCCTCTCTGTCCAGGTCTAGCCTGGTCTGTCCCTCTCGGTCCAGGTCTGTCCCTCTCGGTCCAGGTCTAGCCCTCTCGGTCCAGGTCTAGCCCTCTCTGTCCCTTTCTATCTCTCCATCCTTCTTCTTCTTTCTAGGTCAGTCCAGTTGTTGCTAAGGGTGGCACACAGTCTCCTCCAGGTAATTGAAGGCTTAACCCTGACATGGTTGTGTGTGTGTGAGTGTGAGTGTGTGTATGTAACCCCATCTATTTCCACCATCAGCAGCAAAGCGAGAAACGATCTCCCATTAGCTGAGACATAATCACCTATGGATCATCTCTACGGCCCCATTCTGTTAAACCCAGCGTGGAGCCAGGGCCTAAACGGACATCACTGGCATTGATACAATGTGTGTGTGTGTGTGTATATACGTTTGTGTGTGTATGTGTGTGTGTGTTGTCCTTGTGTGGGGGACTCTATCACTCTGACCGATGGCCTCACTCCTTCTCCTTTCTCTCCATTCTCTCTCCCTTTCTCTTTCCACTCTGTCATCCCCTCACTGTCTCCATCTCCCCTCCCTCTTCCTACCCTCTATCTCTCCACCATCATCCCGAAAGATGGCCTCACTTCAACTCTGCCCTGGCAATCCATCAAAAACTCTCATTCACCATCCTCCCTCCTCTCTTTCACTCGTTCTCTTCTCATCTGTGTCCTCCCTGGAAAAACCGTGGTCTTTTTCACTAGGAACCAAACGGAAGAAAATGGACCGACACAGGGAGGGACTACCTGAACTTGTCCAATAAGAAACTTGTGGCAACACGTTTGGCTACGTTTTGCAACGGTGTGCACTAATGAATATGAACCTGCTTCATGGTTTTATTCAGATGCTAATCTGATATGGAGAGACATTGAGGGGGATGAAAACAAACAAAGACTGGGTGAAGGAGATAAACATGACTCAGATGGATACTATGTTCCTCCACATCACAGCTATGGAAAAAAGAGGGGTAAAGGCCATTCACTTAATTAGAGATTGTGCCAAGAGGGGAGAAGATCAGAAAATGTTATTTATTTCCCTCGCCCTCACACTCCCCATCTCACCTCCCCCTCTCACTCTCCCTTTTTCTAACTCGCACAGTACTTACAGAAACGGCAGGGACACAGGGGGTAGACAGTGACATATCTCCCTGTTCACTTCTCAGCACCCAGAAACACATAATTCAGCAAATTTTCCCACTGAGCTCAAAATAGACATGGAAAAGACATTAAAGCTGGGTGGTAGAGGAAAACGGATGAGACGGAATCAGTGTGTGTGTACTCACGTTGGCCGAGCTGAAGCTGTATCTCATGATGAGGTACAGGGTAGCGCAGGCCTGGCTTCTGTTTCCATCCACATGACTGCTACAGTGCTGGAGCACCTTCTGACACAGGTCTGCACACTGCTCGGCTTCCTCTTCAAACAACATGTCACCAAACTACACACACACAGTACTGTCAGTATACAAACACGCACGCAGCACACAAACACACAATACTGTCAGTACATATTGTGTGTACACACACACACCCTACCTTGACGATGAGTGCTCGAAGCGTGCTGAAGCAGTGAGACAGGAAGGTTGTACTCTGGTTGCAGGTGAGACAGTGTAGCAACACCCTCAACACACCGCCCACTACACTGTCCTTACAGTCAGCCAATGGAACAGCCTGTACGGGAGACAGACAGTCAAGACAACCAACCACAAGTGAGAGAAAGAATACTGTCAGCCAATGGAACTAGAGAGGACATTGTGACGTAGGCCATGTTCGAGAGAGTATCAAATTCATAAAGCATTGTGAGTATATGGTGACAGACTGATCTACAAATAATCAGTAGTTATTAAGGATTAAAGGCCATTTGTAGAACAGTCAGTCTGCAGTCGCCGACTACAATGCAGTCAATCTCAAACACCACCAGAGAGAGAGAGAGAGAGAGAGAGAGAGAGAGAGAGAGAGAGAGAGAGAGAGAGAGAGAGAGAGAGAGAGAAACCATAAGGAGAAATATGTTGTGACCTGTACTATGGTCTCCAGTAGGTCCAGGACGATGAGGTTGGACTCAGTAGCCAGATTCCCACTGATGAGAGCCTCCTGGTCCAGCTCTGCTTTCGTTCTGAGGGTAAAAGGCACAGATACAAAGATGAGACCTCTTTCTAACTCTATGGGTTCTCTTCCTTGGCATTCTCTTCAGAAGACACTGCCTGACAATCGGTCTTCTGCTCCATAGTTACCAGGAGAGATGAGTAATACATGTTTGCAAGAATTGCATCTGTACCTATGTGTGTGTGAGAGAGAGAGAGTGTGTGTGTCTAACTCACTTGTCTTGTCTGTCGTTGGTCTGCCTCCACTGCGTCAGGTCTTTCCTCCAGCGTAGGTTCTCTCTCTGACCTGCACGGTCACTTCCTGTCAGGGTCAAAGGTCAGGGATAAGAGGGCAGGCAGGCTCTCGTTCAATCAAAAAGCAGCCTAGGATTACCATCCTCCCCTTCTCAGCTGCTCTTCAGGAGATATACTTATAAGACGTGTATTGTGCATGTAGCTACTTCTGACCAATCAGAGAGAGTAGTGGGTGGGACTGACCTCCAACCCGCCGCATCATTTCCCCCCGTGCTCCGATGCCCCTCAGTAGGGAGTCCTCCAGCTGCATCTTGGCCTGCTGGGACTTCTGTAAGGCCTGGGTGCTCACCTTATCACTGCTCTGCTTCCCCTGCACCACACATACACAAATGCAGAGGCATGCACACACACGCAATGAGAATAAGATAAATGTACATAATATTTACACACATTAATTAGGTATGTACTCCATGCAGGGCGCAGACATTCTTACCCTGTACTCAAAGCAGGAAACACAGATGGTGAGTAGTTCTAGCAGTCTGTTGAGCTGTGCTGACGGCATGTCTACAGTCCAGCGCTGGATCAGACTCCTCTCAGCGTTCTTCATCACCCACAGGAAACACAGCAGCAGGTTACGACTGGTCTCTGCTGACAGGGTGGCCACCGCCTTACCAGACTGGTAGAGAGGAGAGAGACAGAGTTATATTACTATAGGAAACACGGAAACACACAGGGTGGCCACGGCCTTAAGGCTTTTGAAGACTGAACGATTTTAGCCATCTTATGCAACTATTTTGCCATCCCAGTCAAACATTTCCACATCGTGGGCAAATTCTTAGGTCGTAAACGATTATCGGATGTCTTGGCTCATTCAGGCTGACAGGGTCATGGTCTGCCGATTAAGTACAGCTACGTGCGGTCGTAGGCGCCGATAAAGTTCTAGCAGTGTCCAAATGTTGTTGCCTTAATTGTGTAGTGTGGCTGGTGTTACGAGCTGATCCCGGTGACTGACCAATAGGAACACGGAGTATGCACACAATAATACAATTATTGTGACTAGTCAGATTATTATAGGTCTAATAGTTTGATTTAAATGTTTAGCCTACATGCTGTGCAAGAAGAACGATTTCCCTAATAATCTTGGTACATGACACATCTGAAATCAGGCTACCTGATGGGATATTCATAGTTTACAAAATGGTCAATCAAAATAAATGTTCTACCACAGCGACCATGTTATTTTTGGGAAGCCTATTTGATTCTGAGTTCGGACATATAAAGTTTGTATATGAAAACTATTTCTAAGATGCATACTTTTTCCGAACTCACTTCACTTGCGCATAAGCATATGCTCGCTTCGAGGCAAGTAACACTGAAACATGCATGAGAGCATCAGCTGTTCCGGACGACTGTGTGATCACACTCTCCGTAGCCGATGTGAGTAAGACCTTTAAACAAGTGAACATTCACAAGGCCGCAGGGCCAGACGGATTACCAGGACGTGTACTCCGAGCATGCGCTGACCAACTGGCAAGTGTCCTCACTGACATTTTCAACATATCCCTGACTGAGTCTGTAATACCAACATGTTTCAAGCAGACCACCATAGTCCCTGTGCCCAAGAACACTTGCCTAAATGACTACAAACCCGTAGCACTCACGTTTGTAGCCATGAAGTTCTGTGAAATGCTGGTCATGGCTCACATCAACACCATTATCCCAGAAACCCTAGACCCACTCCAATTTGCACACCGCCCCAACAGATCCACAGATGATGCAATCTCTATTGCGCTCCACATTGCCCTTTCACACCTGGACAAAAGGAACACCTATGTGAGAATGCTATTCATTGACTACAGCTCAGCGTTCAACACCATAGTGCCCTCACAGCTCATCACTAAGCTAAGGACCCTGGGACTAAACACCTCCCTCTGCAACTGGATCCTGGACTTCCTGACGGGCCACCCCAGGTGGTAAGAGTAGGTAACAACACATCCGCCACGCTGATCCTCAACACGGGGGACCCTCAGGGGTGAGTGCTCAGTCCCTTCCTGTACTCCCTGTTCACTCATGACTGCATGGCCAGGCTCGACACCGTCATTAAGTTTGCCAATGACACAACAGTGGTAGGCCTGATCACCGACAACGACGAGAGCCTATAGGGAGGAGGTCAGAGACCTGGCCGTGTGGTGCCAGGACAACAACCTCTCCCTCAACGTGATCAAGACAAAGGAGATGATTGTGGACTACAGGAAAAAGAAGAGGACCGAGCACGCCCCCATTCTCATCGACGGGGCTGTAGTGGAGCAGGTTGAGAGCTTCATGTTCCTTGGTGTCCACATCACCAGCAAACTAACATGGTCCAAGCACACCAAGACAGTCGTGAAGAGGGCACAACAAAACCTATTCCCCCTAAGGAGACTGAAAAGATTTGGCATGGGTCCTCAGCTCCTCAAAAGGTTCTACCGCTGCACCATCGAGAGCATCCTGACTTGTTGCATCCCTGCCTGATATGGCAACTGCTCGGCCTCAGACCGCAAGGCACTACGGAGGGTAGTGCATACGGCCCAGTACATCACTGGAGCCAAGCTTCCTGCCATCCAGGACCTCTATACCAGGCAGTGTCAGAGGAAGGCCCTAAGAATTGTCAAAGACTCCAGCCACCCTAGTCATAGACTGTTCTCTCTGCTACCGCATGGCAAGCGGTACCGGAGCGCCAAGTCTAGTTCCAATAGGCTTCTAAACAGCTTCTACCCCGGAGCCATAAGACTCCTGAACAGCTAATCATGGCTACCCAGACTATTTGCATTGCCCCCCTCCCCTTTTACGCTGCTGCTACTCTCTGTTTATTATCTATGCATAGTCAATTTAATAACTCTACCTACATGTACATATTACCTCAATTAACCAGTGCCCCCGCACATTGACTCGGTACCGGTACCCCCTGTATATAGCCTCGCTATACTTATTTTTAATGCTGCTCTTTAATTATTTGTTACTTTTATTTCGTATTATTTTATATTGTATTTTTTTGGTATTCTTTCTTAAAACTGCATTGTTGGTTAAGAGCTTGTAAGTAAGCATTTCACTGTAAGGTCTACACCTGTTGTATTCAGCGCATATGACAAATAACATTTGATTTGATTTGATGCGCAGAGCCAATACACCGCTGCAGTTGACGTAGCCTAGCAAGCCAATCGCAGAATGGGACGACAGAACTGAAGCAAATCGTACAATCTGGCCAGGTTGCTATCAAGAGTTTAATTTGATAACGTCGCACAGTGTGACGTGATAATCGTAAAAGACAGAATTCGACGTACAGTCTGCAAAGGCCTTTAGCAGACTGGTAGAGGAAGGAGAACAGAGGTGTATACTTTAAAGTGGACAGATTCACTGCAATATGATCAGAGATATAGTGTGGCTTATGGGTTCTCCTTTTGGAGTAAACAGGTGCTCCATCTAACTAAGAGGTTGAATATTCCATATAGACCAGTCATTGATAGCATTGTGTATAGCGTATATAGGGCATACATTCACCCAGCAGAGGCAAGTTATGACAGGAGAGACAGAGTGTTCAGTGGCTGCAGTGTTGCCGTGGCTATGTTTGATGGATGTGTGTGTTGCTCAGGACAGCCCAGGTCACTTATGATTATAATGCCTGCCCATAAAGCATCTCCCGTGTGTGTGTGTGTGTGTGTGTGTGTGGTGTCTACACGCGTGTGTGAGTGAGAGAGAGAGCTGGCGTCTCAGAATGGATGGAGTATGTGTGTGCATCTGACAGCTCATCAGTCTACCTCACAGCAGCACACCTGCTACACGGCAGCCCCCTTGTGCATGCACACAAACACACAGAAACAGACGCTGACACCGCTAGTCACAAAAACACAGAGCACTTATGTTTCAAGTTTGTGTGTAAAGAATTGACTACTCTAATTTCAATGTTAATAAATCATTTTGATGCAGTTTGAAAAGCAAGCTTTCTCCAGTTCTGATTGAGGAACCCAAACATACAGTATGTGCTTGGAGGTGAAATGAGAAAGTCCCACTGATACGAAACCATAACAACATTCCTACAGTCTTACCACAGACGCCATGGAAGGTTGGGCATTCCTCGCCAAGGTGTTGAAGGGGTTGCCGGCGATCGCCATGGCAATAGACTGATTGATGGGCGTGACGTTGTCGGGGTCTTCGTCTGACCCACCTGTCTTGTTCTTCCCTCCGCGAGCCTCGGACACTGCGGAGACACACAAGGGTCAAATACTTACAAATATATATTTTCAAGCTTTATTTAGACAGATTAGAAGTTACTAAAGGGTTACACAGAGGTAGAGAGAGGAGATAGTTGAAAGGGTCATCTCCGGTGGGGAGTGGCATATTTGTTGAGAGCGGGGATTGTTAACAGCCACAGCTCTGCACCAAACTCTCTAAACACAGTTCACATCAACCCAGTTCCAAACCAATCAACCAACTCCTTAGCCAATGTACATTAAGTGCTAATGGGTAGGATCTAGGGGTGGATATGGAATGTGGCCAAGGCCAGTACCTGTGAAGTCCAGGTAGTTGATGGAGTCAATGATGATGCCCACCAGGGGGAGGTAAAGAGTGGCCACCTTGGCCCTGACCTCAGGCTGGGCACAGCGCTGGTCCAGGTCATGGACACACAGCAGACTGTAGGTTGCGTTGATGGCCTTCCTCTGGACCTTACCCCTACACACAATCTCATAAGCACACAGGTACGTATGTATGTGTGTGTGTACGTGTGTGTGTGTGTGTGTGTGTGTGTGTGTGTGTGTGTGTGTGTGTGTACTGACCCCTCTGACTCCATGTCCAGTGCAGCGCTGAGCTCGGTGAGGAGTAGACCAGTAAGGTAGTGCTGCTGTTTAAACCCGTGAGACAGATCAAACAGGTCCAGGATCTTCTGCTCCTGGAAACTACATGAACTGGAGCTCTGCAGAGAGAAACGGGGGAGAGAGAGACGGGGGGAGGGGGGAGAAAGGAGAAAGAGAGATAGACGGGGGGGAAATAGGAATATGAAACAACAAGGAGAGAAAGATAACTTTAATCAAGAATACTTTCCTCAACACCCCGCCTTAACAATACTCCACTATAACCTCAAATCCCAAAGCCGCAGGTGAGTGCTGTGGACTGGCCGATAGGATTTTGACTGACATGCAGACTGACCTGTGAGGAGATGGATGGGCATGGGGAGCCGGGTGCGGAGGCGGGACTACTGAAGTAAAGGCTGAGGTTGAGGTAGTGCTCATGACTGCACAGGATACGCAGGAACTCCAATCGCATGCTGATCATGGTTGGCATGGAAATGCTCTTTGCCGAAATCTGGAAATAACCAATCAGAGGTTACGGCAGGTCACATGGTCAAGGTCAGTTTAAGTTATTGACATGGGATATGGTCAGCGACATAGAAATAGAGTCTAGAATTGGTCACCTCCTTTGTAGTTATGCTGTATAGCAACTTCCTATAAGTAACTACCATGTAACTTCCATCTTTTGTAGCGTCACTTAAATATAAAATAGGACCGTAGAATATTGTGGTTAGAGAAGTGTATTGTGGTAGTGACCTGGTTGCAGTAGTTTTTGACCAGGATGAAGACGAAGCCTCGGTCCATGAGAGACAGCAGGTCATACAGGAAGAAGGCAAGGCTGATGTTTACCTTCTCTGCCTGCTCCAACTCCTAACAACAACACAAACAAACAGTTGATTTTCAGTTAATACCAGCCAATGGTCTCCTTAGAGACATCAGATCAAACATTTTATTTTTATTAAAATGAGCAGTGGAAGTTAAGCGATGATTTGATAGATCGAGTCTACAAAAAGTGCTAGCGTATATAAATCATACACTGTTACTAACCTTCTGCTGTTTGACCAGGATGGTCCCTATCTCGGCAGTAACCACGGAGACGATGGTGGTGATGTCATCTTTGAAGCGGTCTGAGAAGCGGCTCCTGCGAGGGACGTCCTGCTTCTCCAGCTGAGACACGTGCTGGGCCATGCTCTTCACCTGGGCACACACACACACACACACACACACACACACACACACACACACGGGTGTACTCGGATACATACATTAATTTCTTGTAGTCCAAGAACAACTCCATTAAGCAAAACACGCTAGGGCTATATTGTAAAATATATTGAACACACTTACCAGCAGTTCAAAGAAGAACCAGGCGTATTTGTATGTGTTCTCTCTGCAGACTCCCGTGCTGACCACCATCTGTAGAGCCAACTCCTCATGGAACTGCTGTCAGAGAAACACAGAGCCTTGGGTTACTACCACCACTAATACAGTACTGTCTGGTAACCTACAGGTAGAACACAGTGTACTCTTTATAAGGACCACATCCATCCTGGACTCTCAGTGTTACTTCTTATATGCAAAGTACAACCTATATGTTATAGAGCGAGACAGAGACTTGAACAGAGAAATACTCAATAATGAGGCATCAAAGTCAAAGGAACTGAATAATATTAAGATATGCTATAGATGGAAGGAAAGTAGTGTGGAAACCTACCAAAAAACAATTAGGTAACAACAAATTCAATCCCTTTTAGACAACTTCCTGGACAAAACATTTCACTGTAATAGTGAAGGTGTAAACTTGGCAGTAGAAAACCTAAACAGTATATTTGATCTCTCAGCTTCCCTACCAAATCTAAAATTGTTAAACTGAAAAGCAAAGAAAATTAACAACAATGACAAATGGTTTGATGAAGATTGCAAAGCCCTAAGAAAGAAATTGAGAAACCTATTCAACCAAAAACAGAGACCCAGAAAACCTGAGCCTACACCTTCACTATGGTGAATCAATAAAACAATAGCGGAATACACTACGGAAAAAGAAGGAACAGCACGTCAGAAATCAGCTCAATATAATTGAAGAATCCAAACAACAACACGAAGAGTTATCTATCCAAAACTGAGATGTATGGGTAAACCATTTCTCCAATATGTTTGGCCAAACAAACAGCAAAAACATATACATGATCAAATACAAATCTTAGAATCAACTATTAAAGACTACCAGAACCCACAGGATTCTCCAATTACATTGAATGAACTACAGGACAAAATATAAACCCTCCAACCCAAAAAGGCCTGTGGTGTTGATGGTATCCCTCAATGAAATTATAAAATATACAGATGCCAAATTCCAATTGGCTATACTTAAACTCTTTAACATCATCCTTAGCTCTGGCATCTTCCCCAATATTTGGAACCCAGGACTGATCACCCCAATCCGCAAAAGTGGAGACAAATTTGACCCCAATAACTACCGTGGGATATGCATCAACAGCAACCTTGGGAAAATCCTCTGCATTATCATTAACAGCAGACTCGTACATTTCCTCAGTGAAAACAATGTACTGAGCAAATGTCAAATTGGCTTTTTACCAAATTACCGTACGACAGACCACGAATTCACCCTGCACACCCTAATTGACAATCAAACAAACCAAAACAAAGGTAAAGTCTTCTCACGCTTTGTTGATTTCAAAAAAGCTTTTGACTCAATTTGGCATGAGGGTCTGCTATACAAATTGATGGAAAGTGGTGTTGGGGGAAAAACATACGACATTATAAAATCCATGTACACAAACAACAAGTGTGTGGTAAAAATTGGCAAAAACCACACACATTTCTTTCCACAGGGCCGTAGGGTGAGACAGGCATGAAGCTTAAGCCCCACCCTCTTCAACATATATATAAACAAATTGGCGAGGGCACTAGAACAGTCTGCAGCACCCGGCCTCACCCTACTAGAATCTGAAGTTAAATGTCTACTGTTTGCTGATGATCTGGTGATTATGTCCCCAACCAAGGAAGGGCCTACAGCAGCACCTAGATCTTCGGCACAGATTCTGTCAGACCTGGGCCCTGACAGTAAATCTCAGTAAGACAAAAATAATGGTGTTCCAAAAAAGGTCCAGTTGCCAGGACCACATATACAAATTCCATCTAGACACCGTTGCCCTATACATACCTCGGCCTAAACATCACAGGTAACCGCCACAAAGCTGTGAATGATCTGAGAGACAAGGCAAGAAGGGCCTTCCATGCCATCAAAAGGAAAAAAAAATTTGACATACCAATTAGGATCTGGCAAAAAATACTTGAATCAGTTATAGAACCCATTGCCCTTTATGATTGTGAGGTCTGGGGTCCGCTCACCAACCAATAATTCACAAAATGGGACAAACACATTGACTCTCCATGCAGAATTCTGCAAGAATATCCTCAGTGTACAACGTAAAACACCAAATAATGCATGCAGAGCAGAATTAGGCCGATACCCGCTAATTATCACAGTCCAGAAAAGAGCTGTTAAATTCTACAACCACCTAAAAGGAAGCGATTCCCAAACCTTCCATAACAAAGCCATCACCTACAGAGAGATGAACCTGGAGAAGAGTCCCCTAAGCAAGCTGGTCCTGGGGCTCTGTTCACAAACACAGACACCCCACAGAGCCCCAGGACAGCAACACTATTAGACCCAACCAAATCATGAGAAAACAAAAAGATAATTACTTGACACGTTGGAAAAAATTTACAAAAAAACTGAGCAAACTACAATGCTATTTGGCCCTAAACAGAGAGTACACAGTGGCAGAATACCTGACCACTGTGACTGACCCAAAATTAAGGAAATCTTTGACTATGTACAGACTCAGTGAGCATAGCCTTGCTATTGAGAAAGGCCGCCGTAGGCAAACCTGGCTCTCAAGAGAAGATGGGCTATGTGTACACTGCCCACAAAATGAGGTGGAAACTGAGCTGCACTTCCTAACTTCCTGCCAAATGTATGACCATATTAGAGACACATACTTCCCTCAGATTACACAGACCCATAAAGAATTCGAAAACAAATCCAATTTGGATAAACTCCCATATCTATTGGGTGAAACACCACAGTATGCAATCACAGCAGCAAGATTTGTGACCTGTTGCCACAAGAAAAGGGCAACCAGGGAAGAACAAACACCATTGCAAATACAACCTATATTTATGTTTATTTATTTTTCCTTTTTGTACTTTAACTATTTGCAAATCATTACAACACTGTATATAGACATTATAAGACATTTGAAACTTCTGCGAATGTAATGTTTACTGTTAATTTTTGTTTAATTCACACACACACACACACAAACGTCTTTGTGACTGTATAGAACCTAAGGTCAATGTCATGTTCAGCCTCTATTTCACAAGCCAGTGTAGTTTGCTACAGAACCATAGATATACACATCACATTATATGGAAGGTTTTACTGGCTACTATGTAACAGCCCACTGAGATGTATAAATAACATTCTACTAAGAATCCAAATGAGGATGTTATTGTCAGTGTTTACCCAGTATAGAAGATACAGTAGTTTACAGAAGTCTACATTCTAGTATATGTTCTGGCCTGCTCAGTATAACACTGCCCTACACTGGTGACTGTTGGTATCACAGAGGTAAATAACGATGTATTATGGTGTCTCTTTCTGGTATGTGTTACCTTTCTGTTGGAGGGCCGGGTCCCACTTGTAGACCTCTGAGTGTGGCTGCTCGAATCCACATAGGTGGACATGCGACTGCCTGGGTTGTTGTAGCCCTGAGGGGGAAGACAGCAACAACAGGGTGGTCATGAAGAATCTGAACCAGACCGTTATACACTATCTGGGTTATTGGAGCTTTAGAAACACAGACAAACAGACAGGTTGTGTCCCCCAAATGGCACCCTATTCCCTATATAGTGCACTACTTTTTACCAGGGCCAATGGGGTGCCATTTGGGATGCAGACATGGTTTTGCATGGCCCAACCCAGTAAGTCTACACTACAGCCAAAGACCCAGGGGATCAGATATCAAAAGGCTTGAGCGTAGTGATGTGTTGCAAACCAACCATAGCCTGTGATGCTACTTGCTCCACTAGAGGATGTGTTTGTGGCTAGCTCTAGACTGAGAGGATGTTCATTGACTCGGTCTTTAGTGTAGTGTATCAGTACCTTTTTATAAAGCTGCAATTTAAAATAATTATACAATATTTTGGGTTATGGAAAATATATTTCACAGCAGTTTAGATGGTACAATGATTCTCTACACTATACTTGCTTGTTTTGTCACAAACTGAAATTAGGCGAACCATTAGAATTTTAGCAACCAGGAAAATGGCAGAGTGAATTCTGCATAGTGCATCATTAAAGAGAGTGGAGATTCAGTCCCCTTAGGTATTTCATTTGTTTTATTCCAGATAAATCAGAAACAGACAGGGGGACAGATTAAGAGGAGAAAGTGCAAGGTGGATTTGGGGATTAAACCCAGGTCTCCGGCGTGAACTTGTGCAGGTGCATAGAGCCAGGAGTGTTACCCACTCAATCACGGCTCTGCATGCGTATCAGTACCTTAGCTGACAAGATGTTTATGACCTCTGTGTTCTCTGTACTGAGTGGAGCAGGTATATCAGGGTTGCTGCTGCTGCGGAGCCGAGACTGCAGTAACATGGCTCCTACTGTGGTGGCTGAGGCCCGCCCCATAGTACTGTAGCGCCCCTCAGTGGGAGGTAACACCTCACCTGGACCTGGACACACAGGGGAGAACCATATCACTTGCATGATCTACCTGGTCACACTTTGCTTTACACACTGAACCTAAACTTACACACTAAACCGGCACACTAAACCTGCACACTAAACCTGCACACTAAACCTACACACTAAACCTACACACTAAACCTGCACACTAAACCTACACACTAAACCTGCACACTAAACCTACACACTAAACCTGCACACTAAACCTACACACTAAACCTGCACACTAAACCTGCACACTAAACCTACACACTAAACCTACACACTAAACCTACACACTAAACCTGCACACTAAACCTACACACTAAACCTACACACTAAACCTGCACACTAAACCTGCACACTAAACCTGCACACTAAACCTACACACTAAACCTGCACACTAAACCTGCACACTAAACCTGCACACTGAAGATGGCTGTTAAGCTAAAACTTCTATGTATGATATCCTGATGCAGTAAAAATAATAAAAAAATTAAGTAAGGTGGTTGATTTGGTTGGGTTGGAGGTGGGGGTTTGGGGGTGGGGAGTGGAGGGGGAGTTTTTTTTGGGGGGGACTGTGGGAGGGTCTCGGATAGTTGAGGGGCAGCTCTCGGGGGAACTGTGGGGGGATCTTGGATGGTTGGTGGTCTGGCGGTTGGGAGCTTGGGCCTGTGGCCCTGGTTGCTCTTGTGGGTCGCTCTGGACGGGAGTGTCTGCTAGATGACTGTAGGTAGATTGTATGTTTTAAAATTATTATTTTTTAAATGAAGTAAACTTTATGCAACATATTTTTGAGTGTGGCCCCATCACACTTTTTTGCTTATCTTGATTCACAGGTTTTACATTTTTACATTTTAGCCATTTAGCAGACACTCTTATCCAGAGCGACTTACAGTTAGTGCATTCACCTTAAGCTAGCTAGGTGGGACAACCACATATCACAGTAAGTACATTTTTCCTCAATAAAGTAGCTATCAGCAAAGTCAGAGCTAGTAAGAGGAAAAAGAGTCAAGTGCGAGTGGTAGTTCACAAATGACGAGGAGGGTAGCGAGGGGGGGTGCTGTGAGATTGTTTAAGATATGGTTTCAGATGTTTTCAGAAGATGGGCAGGGACTCTGCTGTCCTAGCTTCAGGGTGAAGCTGGTTCCACCATTGGGGTGCCAGGACAGAGAAGAGCTTGGACTGGGCTGAGCGTAGGGGTGGGAGGGCCAAGAGACCTGAGGTGGCAGAACAGAGTCCTCTGGTTGGGGTGTAGGGTTTGAGCATAGCCTGAAGGTAGGGAGGGGCAATTCCTTTTGCTGTTCTGTAGGTAAGCACCATGGTCTTGTAGTGGATGCGAGCTTTGACTGTAAGCCAGTGGAGTTTGCGGAGGAGCGGGGTGACATGGGAAAATTTGGGACGGTTGAACACCAGGCGGGCTGCAGCGTTCTGGATAAGTTGCAGAGGTTTGATGGCACAAGTGGGGAGCCCAGCCAACAGCAAGTTGCAGTAGTCCAGACGGGAGATGATAAGTGCCTGGATTAGCACCTGCGCCGCTTCCTGTGTGAGGTAGGGTCGTACTCTACGGATGTTGTAGAGCATGAACCTGCAGGAGAGCGTCACTGCTTTGACGTTTGCAGAGAATGACAGGGTCACGCCAAGGTTCTTTGCATTCTGGGAAGGGGACAGGAGCGGGAGGGGATGGAGGAGAAGGTGGAAAATAGTTTCCTAGGGTTAGAGGCAGAAGCTTGAAATTTAGATTGATAGAAAGTGGCTTTAGCAGGGGATACAGAGGAAGAGAAGGTAGAGAGGAGGGAGTTAAAGGATGATAGGTCCTCAGGAAGTTGAGTGTTCATCCATTTCCTCACAATGAGTCACTCAGCCACAGAGCAGGAGGGGAGGGCCGAGCCGGCCGGAAAGAAAGGGGAATGTGCAAGTCATAGCATGCGGAAAGGGAGGATAGTAGGGTCGAAGAGGCAGGAGGGAGAAGGATTTAGCAGAAGGGAGAGATGATAGGATAAAATAGGAGAGTGTAGTGGGAGAGAGAGAGAGAGAGAGCGAAGGTTGCGACGGTGCATGACCATCTGGGTAGGAGCTGAGTGGCAAGGGTTGGAGGAGAGGGAGCCAGAAAAGGAAACACAGTGGTGATCAGAGACCTGGAGGTGGGTTGCCTTGAGATTAGAAGGCAAACAGCCTCTAGTAAAGAGGAGGTCAAGCGTATTGCCTGCCTTGTGAGTGGGAGGGGACTGGGAAAGGGTGAGGTTAAAAGAGGCAAGGAGGGGAAAGAAAGAGTTGGAAAGCAATTAATTGAAGGCAGACATTGGGAGGTTGAAGTGACCCAGTACAAAGAGTGGTGAGCCATCGTCAGGAAATGAGCTTATCAAGGTGTCAAACTCATTGAGGAACTCTAAGGGCACCTAGTGGGTGATAGACAACAACAATGTTAAGCTTGAGTGGACAAGTGACAGTGACAGCATGGAATTCAAATGAGGAGAAGGACAGGTGAGTGACGGAGAAAATACAAAATCTCCACCGGAAAAATTAGTGGCCCTGTGCAGTGTTCTCTGGGGTGATCCATGTCTCTGTCAGGGCCAAAAAGTCTAGGGCCTGAAGGGCAACACAGGCTGAGATGAACTCTGCGTTCTTGACCGCAGATCGGCCGTTCCAAACACTGCCGGAGACCAGAAATTCCACATGGGTTGTTCGCGCATGGTACACTAAATTAGAAGGGTTGCAGCCAAGGGGTGGGGAGCGTCTGTAAAGCCTACAGCGAGAGGAGTGAACTGGGATAGAAAACACACACATAGTTGCCAAAGCTACAACAGAGCAAAATGAGGTAATCTGAAAATAACTAGGTAAGATACTATAGCAATGTATTGGTGTAATTACACAGTTACCCTTCATTTCAATTATTACTGTTTAATGTATCTTATCTGCAGTTACTGTGTTCAGCGCAGCATATTCTAGTAGTGCTCATGAGGCTGTTTCATATAAAGTGACGTCCAGTCTCTTACTCTCATCACCATGACAACGTGTCTGGTGGTACCTACCTGTGTTGAGGAGCTCCAGGGGAGAGTCGGCCAGGCGGAACACCCAGTAAAGGTATGTTGCAAGGAGACCGTTCCTGCCCTGCTGGTCCCTGGCCAGCTCCTGGCTGTTGTGGAGACTGTTGACGATGGACACCACCGACTCAAATGCTATCTGGGCTAGGTTGGCTAGGAAATAAATACACACACACACGTCAAACATATCAGGTAAACTCTCCCACTACCTGTCTGTCCTTCCAGTGGAGTGCCTGTCTTGCTCTAGCTGTCTATCTGAAAGCCCAGGATGGTGACGTCCTCTTAGGTATCTGTCTGTCTGAAAACCCAGGACAGTGACGTCCCCCTGGGTACCTGTCTGTCTGAATACCCAGGTGACATTCCCTAGGTACTGGTCTGTCTGAACGCCCAGGACAGTGATGTCGCCCTGGGTACCTGTCTGTCTGAAAGCCCAGGTGACCTCCCCTTATATATAGGTACCCGTCTGTCCAGCGATGACCATGGGCTGCATGATGAGGGTGAAGAGTTTATCTAAGACCAGGTGGAGGTAGAGGACCAGAGGTTCCAGTCTGGAGGAGGACAGGGAGATGATGCTCAGCTTCAGCTCGTGCTCCAGCTTGTTCTCCGGAATCTTCTCTTCCCGAACCCGGAGTGGGAACGTCACTCCGCCCTCCAGGGCATGGCACAACGTGAAGAAACGCTCCAAGTGGTTATCCTGGGGTGGGGAAGGGGTTAATAAATAAAACATTTTTGAGTGTGCATGCATGCGTGTGTGTGTGTGTGTGTAGACTTACCTGTGTGTGTACAGAGGACACAGCCTGTATCTCCAGGTTGAACACTCCTTTGTGGCTCTCCATCCACTTGACTGGAGGGACCTGAGGGGCAATCTTCTGCAGAGAGAGAAAAAGAGAGAGAGAAAGAGAAAGAGATTGACATATTAACTCATTCTGAGCCTACTCACAAGCCTTGCACTTTAACAAAAAAAGATATGTCTGTTGCCATGTAAAAACAATTAATAAATCAGTAAATCAATCAACGAATGACAACTAAGTATCTTCTATCCACAAGGGGGAGCCACCCCCCACTTTACATTCTACTGATACAACTTATTTTTTAAAATTTAATTTAAAATTTAAATTAAATTTAATTTAATATAATTTAATATGCCATTTAGCAGACGCTTTTATCCAAAGCGACTTACAGTCATGTGTGTATAAATTTTTACGTATGGGTGGTATCGGGGATCGAACTCACTACCCTGGCGTTACAAGCGCCATGCTCTACCAATTGAGCTACAGAGGACCACATTTAACTGTTGTCTGGAGAATTGAAATGGACAAATGAACGGTTACCTCAGGCGAGTGCAGTGAGTAGTTGACAGGCAGTCGGTCCAGGGCGATAGGGAGGCAGTACTGACCAGTCTGTAGTCTGTCAGTATTCAGTAAAGGCAGCCACTACAGTAAACAGGGGGATAGACAGTACATCAGCTATCAGCACACATTGACTATTGACAGACACTATGGACACTCACATACAGAAGATAGACCATCTACATATCATTGAGGAGAATCACTTACTAAACATATTGTGCAATATAGTATATAGATCATACATAAACATGATTGAATTGTTGTGTGCATCGCCATGTTCAGTAGAGTAGCTGCATGTTCATGTAAGACAACATGAAACCAGTGTGATCCAGAGCAGATGAGACCAGGGGCCGTATTCATAGGCTGTGCCTACACAGGCAGCCTAATTCTGATCTTCTGCCAATAATTGGTCTTTTGACGAATCAGATCTTTATTCAATTTTTTTACCATTACCCCTTTTTCTCCCCAATTTTGTGTTATCCAATTGGTAGTTACAGTCTTGTCCCATCGCTGCAACTCCCATATGGACTCAGGAGAGGCGAAGGTCGAGAGCCATGCGTCCTCCGAAACACGAAGCGGCACTGCTTCTTGACACACTGCTCGCTTAACCCGGATGCCAGCCGCACCAATGTGTCGGAGGAAACACCGTACAACTGGCAACCAAGGTCAGCTTGCAGGCACCCTGTCCGCCACAAGGAGTCGCTAGAGCGCGATGGGACAAGGAAATCCCGTGCGGCCAAACCCTCCCCTAACCCGGACGACGCTGGGCCAATTGTGCGCCGCCTCATGGGTCTCCCGGTCACGGCCGCCTGTGACACAGCCTGGGATCGATCCCAGGGCTGTAGTGACGCCTCAAGCACTGCGAGGCAGTGCCTTAGACCGCTGCGCCACTCGTGAGGCCAGATCAGATCTTTTGACCAATTAGAATTGAGCTGCCTGTGTAAATGCATCCATTACGTCTCAGAGTAGGATTGCTGCTCTAGGATCAGTTTTGCCTTTTCGATCACAATGAATAAGATTACATGGACAGCGAGGAGCTGATCCTAGATCACTACTCCTACTCTGAGGCACTGTATGAATATAGGCACAGGTGAGACAAGGTTTGAGGGGTCAGACTTACAGAGAATCCTATGAGTGTCTCACTGGGGGCTGTCTGATTCTGTTTCTGTTGACAGCTGATATGGTAGAAGGTAAACAAGAGGTGGTGTCTCTCAGTCAGCCTGGCAGGCAGAGCTATCTTCACCTCCTCATAGAAGTCTGGAGACCTGAGTCCCAGTCATACAGAGACAGAGAGAACACAGAAAAAAATGAAGATTATTATATTAGAAAATGTAATATGCATATCATGCGGTAGTTGTATTATTAGCATTTAGCATGAAGTATATAAAATAGCATCCACTTGCTTGTTATGGTACGTGACTGGGGTGTATACTTCTTGCAGAAACTCAGGACCATTTGATTTTCCAAAAATGACCTAGGAGGAAAAAGAAAGAGTAAAATCAATAAAACCATGTTAAACATGTCACAGCGACGTAGGTGAACATTCTGTATGAGCATTGTGTGTGTGTGTGTGTGTGTGTGTGTGTGTGTGTGTGTGTGTGTGTGTGTCAAACTCACAGGCAGTACACAGCTTGGGTCTTCTCCACTCATAAACTGGATTTTAATGGTGATGTTCCTTGCTGAAGTCAGCCTGTTGACGAAGTTGAGCCGCTGGGGGTACACATAGAGCAGGTTCCTAGAGAGAGAGAGAGAGAGAGAGAGAGAAAGCAAGAGCAAGACGAAGGGAGAGAGACAGAGAGACAGAGAGACAGAGAGACAGAGAGACAGAGAGACAGAGGGAGATTTTTCTGGTATAAGAAATATGGTAGAAACTCCCACTAGCCCATGCCTCCACTATTCCAATGCTTTTAGATTTGTGGGAAGTAGTGAATAAATGCACACTTCAGGAGAAAGGATATATTAATGGACACAGCCCAAGCTGTACTTGTAGTCTGTTAAATGGTATGTGCTATCCGGGATCCTTGGGACGTCCCTACCCCATTGAAGTTGACATTTTAAATGGTTAAGGTAGGGGTTAAGTTTAGGGTTACGGTAGGGACGTCCAAAGGATCTCAGATAGCACAGACCAGAGTTCTTCCTGGTCAGGTCAGGAAAAACCCATTGTGCATGTGCAGCACTCCTTCTCAGAGTTAAGACAGGCTGAGCCTGCACATCAATACTATACCACTAGATGGCACCCTGTGGAGCTAAGAAATGCATGATATTGCACAATACACTGCATGGGCCTGAAAACCAGGGGCTTACCAACAATCCAAATGTGGATTGTTGGTAATGTAACAATGTGGTCATCTGTCCTGAGACAGGAGACAAACTCTTAGGGTATGTCCCAAATGGCACCCTATTCCCTATATAATGCACTACTTTTGACCACTGCCCTAGGGTGCCATTTTGGATGCAAAGAGAAGGAAGGAGTGAAGTGTTGACAGCATTGTCTCAGGTCAGACTGGTGGTAGGTGTTTACAACGTTGATGGAAACTATGAGGCCTGAAGCTACGTGCTCATTGTGCTGTGGTAAGTGCAATCACACCTGAGTAAAGCTCACGTGAAGGGGAATGTATACATGATGCTTAGAATGGAGACAGAGAATACACTGTTAGGGGTATTAAGTAATGGACCAACAGTGCTTGAAGCTACACTACATGACCAAAAGTATGTGGACACCTGCTCGTCAAACATCTCATTCCAAAATGATGGGCATTAATATGGAGTTGGTCCCGGGGCGGCAGGTAGCTTAGTGGTTAAGAGCGTTGTGCCAGTACCCGAAAGGTCGCTGGTTCTAATCCCCGAGCCGACTAGGTGAAAAATCTGTCGATGTGCCCTTGAGCAAGGACTTAACCCTAATTGCTCCTGTAAGTCGCTCTGGATAAGAGCGTCTGCTAAATGACAAAAATTTAAAATGTAAATGTCCCCCCTTTGCTGCTATAACAGCCTCCACTCTTCTGGGAAGGCTTTCCACCAGATGTTGGAACATTGCTGCAGGGACTTGCTTCCATTCAGCCACAAGAGCATTAGTGAGGTCGGGCACGGATGTTTGACGATTAGGCCTGGCTCGCAGTTAGCGTTCCAATTCATCCCAAAGGTGTTCGATGGGGTTGAGGTCAGGGCTCTGTGCAGATCAGTCAAGTTCTTCCACACCGATCTAGACAAACCATTTCTGTATGGACCTTGCTTTGTGCACGGGGGCATTGTCATGCTGAAACAGGAAACTCGGAAGCACAGAATCGTCTAGAATGTCATTGTATTCTGTAGCGTTACGATTTCCCTTCACTGGAACTAAGGAGCCTAGCCCGAACCATGAAAAACAGCCCCAGACCATTATTCCTCCTCCACCAAGATTCGTCCGTCGGACTGCCAGATGTTGAAGCGTGATTCATCACTCCAGAGAACGTGTTTCCACTGCTCCAGAGTCCAATGGCGGCAAGCTTTACACCACTCCAGCCGACGTTTGGCAATGCACATGGTGATCTTAGGCTTGTGTGCGGCTGCTCGGCCATGGAAACCCATTTCATGAAGCTCCTGATGAACAGTTATTGTGCTGATGTTGCTTCCAGAGGCAGTTTGGAACTCTGTAGTGAGTGTTGCAACTGAGGACAGACGATTTATACTTTTGTATATATAGGTGGTTGTGCTTTGGTAAATACATTATAACTCACTAAAGGCTACATCCACAGGGAATGAAGTGATGAATTGAGCTTTGAGGAGAATATGCAGAATATACTATATTTGAAAAGGTGTTTCAAGACACATCTCACATCTAAAGGCATTTCCTCCTACAGAGCAGAGAGGATGGAGTGAGTGAACTAACCTGTAAATGCTGTTATGAACTGTGTGTGTGCGTGCTTGCCTGTGTGTGTGTGTTGTATGCATGGAAACGTGTGTGTGTTCACCTGTAGGTGCTGTGTGGAACATAGACTTCGCTGGAGGGGAATTCCAACACCTCTTTGATAGGTCTCAGGTTCTTCTCAGCCACTGGTTTGACTGGGATCAGCTCAGTAGAGAGACATGCCACTGGGTTGTCATGGACCGGGGTCACATCCAGTCTTATCATACCTGGACCATGTCAGAAATAAGTCAAATACAGTCTCAATCTATGTGAATTCTTCTGAGAGATATTTCGAAGTAGGTCATACGTATAGGAACGTTGCAGTCCCACTTAGACACATAAACCCAGGCATAACATTTACAGACAACTTGGTCTTAGAAATGGGACATTATAGTCACTTGTTGTTGGGTTGAATGGAGTGAAACAGCATCTACAGACAGCCAGGTCTTGCTGTGTGGTTGAATGGAGGATTACCTGGTATGGTTTTAATTCTTCTCTGCAGGGATGAGAACCTTTTGATGTCTGCCAGAAACTTGAACAAGTCCTCATCACTCAGACGGTCCCCCTCCTAAAACACAGCAGGATCTAGTTCAGTCAAATAAACATTTGTAGAAAAAGTGAAGCCCCAAAACATTCACTATGTGTTAAAAACAACAATATCGGACTAGGGCTTTCTGCATAGCTGAAGAGCTGTGGTGGGGATGATATACTGTCTCAGAATTAAAGTGTGAAGATGCAATGTTGCACAGCGGACTTCTTTCATCTTTTCCAACAACTAAACATATGAAAGTGACAAATACTTGGGGCACATATTGAGGAGTGCAACTCTAAGAGTTTTTGCGGCACCAATTCTTGGGCTTATCCACAGATGCTAGTAGGATGGAAAAAATGCACCCTTGCTGTGCAATGCTATCACATGCATGTCTGCTCTGTGGATTATGTCCTTCCTTCCTTAACATTATAATTATTTCACAATACTGATGACAGATCAGCTCCTAGAGAAATATTACCACCTACGGCTGCCAATATTATGGAGAATGTATGGTAAGTCTATATGATATCTGGTTAGGTACGGCCTTATGACATGTATGTCTGCTTTGTAGATTATGTATGGAATGAAATAATGTATTGTACCGAGGTGACACCCACAACGTTGAGCATTCTTTGAGCATATCGATGCTTATATCACTGTATCAGTGTTTATATTATAACGTGTGTGCTTGTATTGTTTTCTATAGTGCATGTGTCCAGACCTGTTTGCAGAAGGTGCTGATGGTTATGGTAGCAGGTTTGAAGGCAGACATGTTACACTGGTCTTCCATGGTAGCGAACCTCTCAGAGTTCCTCCTGGGCAACTGACCTCTCTTATCCAGACTGCTGGATTTACCTGGACAGGGGAGGGGAGGTGAACCATGGCAAGTCATTCAAGTTAGGTACAGAAAGGTATGATCCAACAAGCCTTGGACTCATCAGTTCAAGAGTAAACCAGCTTATCACACACGCACACAAAACTATTACACAATCACACACATACTGACCATTGAAGCTGTCAGAGTCAGTCGTGTCTCGGTCCAGTGTGGCAGTACTGATGACGTTCATGATGTTGACCATGGCCCAGGCGAAGGGCATACGGTAGCGACCCAGTCTCTGACAGAACGTCTCTGACTGGCTGCGCAGCTTCTCCAACTTCTCCTTATTCTGATCCAGGGAACCACGCAGAACCACAATTACAACCTATAGCTGCTGTGTGTGTGTGTGTGTGTGTGTGTGTGTGTGTGTGTGTGTGTGTGTGTGTGTGTGTGTGTGTGTGATGCGCATCCTCATGGCACTCTACCTTCGCTGAGTCACTCTCCTTCATAACCATGTATGGTTCAGCACAGTCACTGATCTCCCCCTGCTGCAGCACCTTCTCTATCTGAAACACAGCCAATACAAGCTAATACTGTACACAGGTGTCTATGGTCAGTTACATAGAATATGTTACCTTAACACACAGGGCCCAGTTTCCCGATAGCGACGGAACTTAGGCTTACGAGTGTTTAACAGTGCATCGTTCCTACAACGGCCGAAGATGTAACATGCGTTTCCCAAAACACCACGCAGAGAGACTGGTCGCTAAGTGCGTCGTTGGAGAATGTGTCGATACTGATAGGATCGAAAGGGAGCGCTGCTCTCGGATCAGCTTTCTTCATTCAAATCGTTCCCTGACATTATAATCATTTCACAATACTGATGACAGATCAGCTCCTAGAGAGAGAGATATTACCACCTAAAGCTGCAAATGCACTAAATCACCAATTTGGCACACCATTGCGCACATTTTAGGCTAGACATTAATATATTGTGGCAAATTACAGACAGTAGCCTACAAGTATCAAAATATAACTCAATTGATTGGACATTAAATGTATTTCAATATGACTGAAATCGGCCTATAGCTTACTGTTTATATTTGAATGCAGTAATCTCGGTTTTCATTTGAAGCATATTTTTATAGGTCACTTGTTTGTATCAATTGCAAAGACAATGTCAACCTCCTACGAAGGTTCTAACGATGAACTTAAGATGAACTTAAGATGATTTTAGATCGATAGAGGCACCATGGGTAATATGTGAGGAGATGGATAGGTCTATAATGTTTACCTTAATGACCAACAATTGTAGATCTGCGCACAGTACAGGTATGTGTATTACTTGAATGAGCAAGTACTGTAGATAGATGCAGGTAGATGAGATGCGTATCTTACCTTGATGACCAGGTAGATATCTGGGGAGGGGTATGTGATGGAGAAGATGGCTGCTCGGGAGAGGGTGGAGTGGTCCGTCTGTGGTGTGTGGGGTTTCAGGAACCCTTTAAACTGATCCGAGTTCAGATCACAGTAGAAGTTCTCGGATATCTGAGGAAGTTGAACATAGAAGGTCAGTGCTAGAATCCACCTTAGTAGTGGACTGGACCAACTTGTTGCAAAACCTTTTGCTACGGTGTGCAGTAATGAATGTGACCCAGTAGAGGAATTAGTATTGGGACAGGCCTTTTTCTCCTCATCCTACGTTCCAGCTGGTTTCTGTCCGACAGGCTTTTGACCATGTTATTTTAGCGGTTGGTCTCATACAGAGAGCTGTTGAACCCACTCCTTCACCCAGCTAAGAGCTCTACCACAAATCACCATCCTACTACAGATGCAGTCAAATATATTGGCACCCTTACACTTTACAATGGAGTTCAATGGAACAGAATGTTTTCAAAACCATTTCAATGGCTATTTTGATGCTGTAGGCACTGGGGCCTCATTTATAAACTGTGCGTTTGTACAAAATATACCTCCAAAAGTGTGTGAGATACAGCATAAATGTTTTTGTTTATATATTTGTTTCCCCAATAGCTTTTGCAGAAGCATCAGCTACTCTGTCTGGGGTCCACAAAAAAACAAAACAAATAAAATGTTATTTGCCACATGCACCGAATACAACAGGTGTAGACCTTACAGTGAAATGCTTACTTACAAGCCCTTAACCAATAATGCAGTTTTAAGATAAATAAGTGTTAATTACAAAATAGATAAGTAAAAAATAAAAATAAAAAATAATTAAAGAGCAGCAGTAAAATAAAATAACAGTAGGGAGGCTATATACAGGGGGTACCGGTACAGAGTCAATGTGCGGGGGCACCGGTTAGTCAAGGTAATTGAGGTAATATGTAACATTTGGGTAGAGTTAAAGTGACTATGCATCGATAATAAACAGAGAGTAGCAACAGCGTAAAAGAGGGGATGGGGTGGGGGGACAATGCAAATAGTCCGGGTAGCCATGATTAGCTGTTCAGGAGTTTTATGGCTTGGGGGTAGAAGCTGTTAAGAAGCCTTTTGGAACCTAGACTTGGCGCTCCGGTACCGCTTGCCGTGCGGTAGCAGAGAGAACAGTCTATGACTAGGGTGGCTGGAGTCTTTGACAATGTTTAGGGCCTTCCTCTGATACCGCCTGGTATAGACGTCCTGGATGGCAGGAAGTTTGGCCCCAGTGATGTAATGGGCCGTACGCACTACCCTCTGTAGTGCCTTACGGTCGGAGGCCGAGCAGTTGCCATACCAGGCAGTGATGCAACCAGTCAGGATGCTCTCGATGGTGCAGCTGTATAACTTTTTGAGAATCTGAGGACCCATGCCAAATCTTTTCAGTCTCCTGAGGTGGAATAAGCTTTGTCGTGCCCCCTTCACAACTGTCTTGGTCTGTTTGGACCATGATAATTTGTTGGTGATGTGGACACCAAGGGACTTGAAGCTCTCAACCTGTTCCACTACAGCCCCGTCGAAAACATGACAAGTAACAAAACACTGATACACTGATAGACAAGGACAGTCATACAAATTTAAAATAAAACGATATACAAAACACAATTTTTTTTTTTTTAATAAAAAAATACTGCAAAAGATTTTAAAAAATTCTGCCAACACAGTAAATAGACTGGTAACTTATGTAAAAATGTTAACAGTATGGGCAGGCTACAGTATTGCTGTGCGATAGGAGTAAGACATCATAAACCTATTTAATCTCAGAGCCTATGGCAGGACATAGAAACCCAATAATCTATTGATAAACTAAATATTGAACAACAATTCATTGTTGCATAGAAGTGTGGACTGTAGCAGTTAGCCTACTTTTAAAATGTTTCGAATATACAATCAATCTTGCAGAATGTGCAGACATGGCACTTGCTACAGTGAGGGAAAAAAGTATTTGATCCCCTGCTGATTTTGTACGTTTGCCCACTGACAAAGAAATGATCAGTCTATAATTTTAATGGTAGGTTTATTTGAACAGTGAGAGAGGGAATAACAAACAAAAAATCCAGAAAAACGCATGTCAAACATTTTATAAATTGATTTGCATTTTAATGAGGGAAATAAGTATTTGACCCCCTCTCAATCAGAAAGATTTCTGGCTCCCAGGTGTCTTTTACACAGGTAACGAGCTGAGATTAGGAGCACACTCTTAAAGGGAGTGCTCCTAATCTCAGTTTGTTACCTGTATAAAAGACACCTGTCCACAGAAGCAATCAATCAGATTCTAAACTCTCCACCATGGCCAAGACCAAAGAGCTCTCCAAGGATGTCAGGGACAAGATTGTAGACCTACACAAGGCTGGAATGGGCTACAAGACCATCGCCAAGCAGCTTGGTGAGAAGGTGACAACAGTTGTTGCGATTATTCGCAAATGGAAGAAACACAAAATAACTGTCAATCTCCCTAGGCCTGGGGCTCCATGCAAGATCTCACCTCGTGGAGTTGCAATGATCATGAGAACGGTGAGGAATCAGCCCAGAACTACACGGGAGGATCTTGTAAATGATCTCAAGGCAGCTGGGACAATAGTCACCAAGAAAACAATTGGTAACACACTATGCCGTGAAGGACTGAAAACCTGCAGTGCCCGCAAGGTCCCCCTGCTCAAGAAAGCACATATACAGGCCCGTCTGAAGTTTGCCAATGAACATCTGAATGATTCAGAGGAGAACTGGGTGAAAGTGCTGTGGTCAGATGAGACCAAAATGGAGCTCTTTGGCATCAACTCAACTCGCCGTGTTTGGAGGAGGAATGCTGCCTATGACCCCAAGAACACCATCCCCACTGTCAAACATTGAGGTGGAAACATTATGCTTTGGGGGTGTTTTTCTGCTAAGGGGACATGACAACTTCACCGCATCAAAGGGACGATGGACGGGGCCATGAACCGTCAAATCTTGGGTGAGAACCTCTTTCCCTCAGCCAGGGCATTGAAAATGGGTCGTGGATGGGTATTCCAGCATGACAATGACCCAAAACACACAGCCAAGGCAACAAAGGAGTGGCTCAAGAAGAAGCACATTAAGGTCCTGGAGTGGCCTAGCCAGTCTCCAGACCTTAATCCCATAGAAAATCTGTGGAGGGAGCTGAAGGTTCGAGTTGCCAAACGTCAGCCTCAAAACCTTAATGACTTGGAGAAGATCTGCAAAGAGGAGTGGGACAAAATCCCTCCTGAGATGTGTGCAAACCTGGTGGCCAACTACAAGAAACGTCTGACCTCTGTGATTGCCAACAAGGGTTTTGACACCAAGTACTAAGTCATGTTTTGCAGAGGGGTCAAATACTTATTTCCCTCATTAAAATGCAAATCAATTCATAACATTTTTGACATGCGTTTTTCTGGATTTTTTTGTTGTTATTCTGTCTCTCACTGTTCAAATAAACCTACCATTAAAATTATAGACTGATCATGTCTTTGTCAGTGGGCAAATGTACAAAATCAGCAGGGGATCAAATACTTTTTTCCCTCACTGTATACATATATATATATATATATATTCAGAGCCATATCCCTGTAATACTTAGAGAATAACTTATGTCAAGTGTTATTGAAGTGCTGTGGTTGCAGGTTCACTTGGCACATCTTAAGCCTTTTCTTTTGAGGTGTTGCTATAGGCCACCAAGTGCTAACAGTCAGTATCTAAATAATATGTGGGAAATGCTTGATAGTGTGTGATGTAAACAGAGAGGTCTACTTTCTTGGGGACCTGAATATTGACTGGTTTTCATCAAGCTCTCCGTTTAAGAGGAAGCTTCTCACTGTAACCAGTGCCTGTAATCTGGTTCAGGTTATTAATCAACCTACCAGGGTATTTAGAAACACTACAGGGACAAGATTATCCACATGTATCGATCACATTTTCACTAATACTGTATAACTTTGTTCTAAAGCTGTATCCGCACCCATTGGATGCAGTGATCACAATATTATGGCTATATCCAGGAAAGCCAAAGTTCCAGAAATGGGGCCTAGTGTATAAGAGATCACACAAAATATTTTGCTGTGACTCTTATGTGGATGATGTTAAACATTTTTGTTGGTCTGATGTGATTAATAAGGAGCATCCAGACGCTGCACTTGATTAATTTATTAAATTGCTTCTTCCAAGTATTGATAAACATGCACCTGTTAAGAAACTGACTGTTAGAACTGTTAAGGCTCCATGGATTGATGAGGAATTGGAAAACATGGGGCAAAAGGAGTGGCTATTAAGTCTGGCTGCAAATCTGACTGGCTGACTTACTGCAAATTGAGAAATGATGTGACTAAACTCAACAACAAAAAATAATAAACTGTATTATGAAGGCAAGATCAATTATATAAAGAATGATGGAAAAAAAACTTTGGAGTACTTTAAATGAAATTATGGGCAGAAAGACAAATTCAACGCCATCTTTAATAGAATCAGATGGCTTATTCATCACAAAACCATTTGATGTTGCCAATTATTTGGCAAACTTAGGCAGGAAATGCCAACAACGAACAGTGAGCCTATGGTGACCCTGTACGTTGTGAGTTTCATGTGAGGTCCATTACCAACTCATTTACAACTCCTCCTCATTCCACGTCACATTATTAGTCCTCTACAAACAGTCTAACATTTCATAGCAGGACTGCTACAACAAACTGCCGTCCGTCTCTCTCTGACAATTGGGTCATTACATAAAAGTTCAACATTTCACATGGTCTCCACAGTGACTGCAATGCAGAGTGTATTAACTTTAAAAGCCAAGAGTTCCACAGCACGTCATATTAATTTTGATGAGACACAGCACAGCTGAGGATCCCTGGCTGTGTTCTAAACATTTGGTATAAACCTCCATTTAACCTCACAATGCCCTGGATGCACCATGCTTGGTATGATGATCATATTTCTATTGTAGGCCTACAATATGCACAGCATGGTTGGTCTAATAATCATAACCATTGTCGCTATAATAATCGTTCCTACCCCGTGGTCAATAAGTGCATCGATGACGTCGTCCCCACAGTGACCGTACGTACATACCCCAACCAGAAGCCATGGATTACAGGCAACATCCGCACTGAGCTAAAGGGTAGAGCTGCCGCTTTCAAGGAGCGGGACTCTAACCAGGACGCCTATAAGAAATCCCGCTATGCCCTCCGACGAACCATCAAACAGGCAAAGAGTCAATACAGGACTAAGATTTAATCGTACTACACCGGCTCCGACGCTCGTCGGATGTGGCAGGGCTTGAAATCTATTACAGACTACAAAGGGAAGCACAGCCGCAAGCTGCCCAGTGACACAAGCCTACCAGACAAGCTAAATCACTTCTATGCTCACTTCGAGGCAAGCAACACTAAAGCATGCATGAGAGCATCAGCTGTTCCGGATGACAATGTGATCACACTCTCCGTAGCCGATGTGAGTAAGACTTTTAAGCAGGTCAACATTCACAAGGCAGCAGGGCCAGACGGATTACCAGGATGTGTACTCCGAGCATGCACTGACCAATTGGCAAGTGTCTTCACTGACATTTTCAACATGTCCCTGACTGAGTTTGTAATACCAACATGTTTCAAGCAGACAACCATAGTCCCTGTGACCAAGATCACTAAGATAACCTGCCTAAATGACTACCGACCCGAAGCACTCACGTCTGTAGCCATGAAGTGCTTTGAAAGGCTGGTCATGGCTCACATCAACACCATTATCCCAGAAACCCTAGACCCACTCCAATTTGCATACAGCCCCAACAGATCCACAGATGATGCCATCTCTATTGCACTCCACACTGCCCTTTCCCACCTGGACAAGAGGAACACCTATGTGAGAATGCTATTCATTGACTACAGCTCAGCGTTCAATACCATAAACCCTCAAAGCTCATCACTAAGCTAAGGACCCTGGGACTAAACACCTCCCTCTGCAACTGGATCCTGGACTTCCTGATGGGCCGCTCCAAGGTGGTAAGGGTAGGTAACAACACATCTGCCACGCTGATCATCAACACAGGGGCCACTCAGGGGTGGGTGCTCAGTCCCGTCCTGTACTCCCTGTTCACCCATGACTGCATGGCCAGGCATGACTCCAACACCATCATTAAGTTTGCCGACGACACAACAGTGGTAGGCCTGATCACCAACAACGATGAGACAGCCAATAGGGAGGAGGTCAGAGACCTGGCCGTGTGGTGCCAGGATAACAACCTCTCCCTCAACGTGATCAAGACAAAGGAGATGATTGTGGACTACAGGAAAAAAAAGAGGACTGAGCACGCCCCCATTCTCATCGACGGGGCTCTAGTGGAACAGGTTGAGAGCTTCAAGTTCCTTGGTGTCCAAATCACCAACAAACTATCATGGTCCAAACACACCAAGATAGTCGTAAAGAGGGCACAACAAAGCCTATTCCCCCTCAGGAGACTGAAAATATTTGGCATGGCTCCTCAGATCCTCAAAAAGTTATACAGCTGCACCATCGAGAGCATCCTGACTGGTTGCATCACTGCCTGGTATGGCGACTGCAAGGCACTACAGAGGGTAGTGCGTACGGCCCAGTACATCATTGGGGCCAAGCTTCCTGCAATCCAGGACCTCTATACCAGGCGGTGTCAGAAGAAGGCCCTAAAAAAGGTCAAATACTCCAGCCACCCTAGTCATAGACTGTTCTCTCTGCTACCGCACGGCAAGCGGTACCGAAGCGCCAAGTCTAGGTCCAAAAGGCTTCTTAACAGCGTCTACCCCCAAGCCATAAGACTCCTGAACAGCTAATCATGGCCCCACCCTCACCCCCTCTTTTACACTGCTGCTACTCTGTTTATTATCTATGCATAGTCACTTTAACTCTACCCACATGTACATATTACCTCAACTAACCGGTGCCCCCGCACATTGACTCTGTACTGGTACCGTGTAAGGTCTACACCTGTTGTATTCGGCGCATGTGGCAAATACAATTTAATTTTATTTTATTTGGTACTGTGTACTGCAGGGAATGTCAACTGGTGTAGACCTTACAGTGAAATGCTTACTTACAAGCCCTTAACCAACAAGGCAGTAAAAAAAAGAAGAAAAAAATGGAAATGTAATAAGTAAAAAATTGAAATAGCAAATAATTAAAGAGCAGCAGTAAAATAAAGAAACAGTAGGGAGGCTATATACAGGGGGTACCAGTACAGAGTCAATGTGCGGGGGCAACGGACAATTTTATTTGGCACCCCAAAGTTTTCTGAGCAAAAAGTAAATAAACAAATATCTTATTTGTTCTTTTTTTTTTTGGGGGGGGGGGGGGGGGGGGGGGGGGGGTGCATAGAATACTGTAAAATCACTAGGAATTGAGCTCAAAATGATTAAGGAAATATTTCCCCAAGTATTTCCACTTATAAACAGAGAGACCTACAGTATGTGATCGTGTACCAATGTAATCAAGTTTTTAAATTATTATGTTTTTGGGAAACACAATATCTGTTTGGGCTGCTTTATAATTATGTTCCGACCTCCGACCATCCACTCACAAAAAAATTGTCCTGCGGCTGAATCTAGACCCCTGGTGTACTGTAACCCTCTGTCAGTCAGACAGGACGGGACAGGACAGGATTAGAGGAACGTTTCAAGGGAATTATATCAACATCTGCTGCATATTTCACAGATGTGAAACCAAGACGGCATTAAAACACAGCATTTCACTGCATAGAAACAGAAAAGAGATGGTGAAAGTGAGAAATAAAGAGGGACAGAAACAGAAAGAGAGAGACAGATCGAGAGAGAGAGAGAGAGTGAGAGACAGAGACAAACGAGAGAGAACCTCAGTCACCAAACCCCTCTTTTCCAGATTGAGTCATATCAATTGTAATTGATTAAACAAGCTGGACAGTATGTCATCCTGGTCCATAACAGAGGGATGTTTCATGGGCCTACAACATGGTGTCTTTGTCAGGCCTATCTGCCTCCTCCTCTAATTAATTCAATAAGGAGGATGTGTTAACCCCCACGATAACATATTGTGCCCGATGGATCTTATGGAGAATAGCAGTATCTGGTCCCTCACTATGCAGTTGATGTAGTGCATATTAAAGGGAAAGGTGGTATAAAAAAACAGTAATACTTTCACAGACTGCCCAACTAGAATGCAGTGTGGCCAGATGACCATGAGGTCAGTGGCTCAAATCCTATGAGGGACACGTGGTGCCGTTGAGGCCTAAAACCCTAAATCCAAACTCCAATCCAAAAACCATCCAGCTGTGCAAGTACATAACACACATGCTACTAGCTTTGGCTAACAGTGTTGTGTTTGGATAGTAGAGTACAGTGTGAATCAGATGGGTTATTCCCATGAACACAAATTGGTGCATTCAATTTAGGATAGCCAGTGGGACAACCACCCTTTTTTATTTTATTTTATTATGGGGGGGGGGGGTATTAAAGAGGTAGGGTTTCAAGTGTCTCCGGAAGGTGGTCAGTGACTCCGCTGTCCTGGCGTCGTGGGGGAGCTTGTTCCACCATTGGGGTGCCAGAGCAGCGAATAACTTTGACTGGGCTGAGCGAGAACTGTGCTTCCGTAGAGGTAGGGGGGCTAGCAGGCCAGAGGTGGATGAACGTAGTGCCCTCGTTTGGGTGTAGGGTCTGATCAGAGCCTGAAGGTAAGGAGGTGCCGTTCCCCTCACAGCTCCGTAGGCAAGCACCATGGTTTTGTAGTAGATGCGAGCTTCAACTGTAAGCCAGTGGAGTGTGCGGAGGAGCGGGGTGACATGAGAGAACTTCGGTTGAACACCAGACGGGCTGCAGCGTTCTGGATAAGTTGTAGGGGTTTAATGGCACAGGCAGGGAGCCCAGCCAACAGAGAGTTGCAGTAATCCAGACGGGAGATGACAAGTGCCTGGATTAGGACCTGTGCTGCTTTCTGTGTAAGGTAGGGTTGTACTCTGCGAATGTTGTAGAGCATGAACCAGGATCGGGTCACCGCTTTGATGTTAGCGGAGAACGACAGGAAGGTTCTTTGCACTCTGGGAGAGGACACAATGGAGTTGTCAACCGTGATGGCGAGATTATGGAGTGGTCAGTCCTTCCCCAGGAGGAAGAGCAGCTCCGTCTTGCCGAGGTTCAGGGCCTCCGGACAGTGGCTAAAGCCTAGGATATCCCACTGATACATCACTTCACTGACCACCAACACAAACCTAACACACTGGTCATGAGATCACCTAAAGGACGAAATGCACTGTGCTGACGAACAGTTAAAAGCAGCGGGTGATTGTCCCATCACCTCTGACCAGAACATCGGCCGTCATTTTCTGTTCATTTCCAGACAATTCTACATGTTGAATCACCACTGTTCGTCGACACCCAAGCAGGTGATCTATTGTGCACGGGCAACGTTTGCTATGGTCTGTCTTGTCAACTTCAAGCTTCAACAACATGAAGGTATGGTATTCTTCATGACCTCATAACACACAGCAGGCCAAAGAATACAGCGTTCTAAAAAACACAAAACATCAGAAGGAAACGTACCTTTTTCTTCTCTCTCAGGTCGTACAGAGCCAGGGTAGCAAACAGTGGTTCAATGTCAATCTCAAACCTATGGCGGACCGGGGAGAAAGCGTATCAGACTGTCATTTCATAGCAGCAGTGTGTCGACCAGCAAGCAAATATCACCTGTTAAAATCAATCATTTATATAATATATAATAATAATATAATATGCCATTTAGCAGACGCTTTTATCCAAAGCGACTTACAGTCATGCGTGCATACATTTTTTTCTTTTGTGTATGGGTGGTCCCGGGGATCGAACCCACTACCTTGGCGTTACAAGCGCCGTGCTCTACCAGCTGAGCTACAGAGGACCACATTTATATTGTACTCCACTCTATTCATCAACTCAGGATATTCAACAGATGCAACAGCAATATGAAATGTGGATGCATGCACTCGCATAGCACTAAGCCTATCTAGAGAGTGATGAGTCAAACTGAAAGTTGGGACAGGCAGCTGCAAAACACTGCTTAGTACTTTGACAGTTTTACGGTGTGGGAGAGGCAGAAAGAGAGAGAGGGAGATGGAGGGAGAGAGAGGGAGAGGAGAGAAGGGGAGGGAGAGGGAGAGGGGAGAGAGAGAGAGGGGAGAGAGGGAATGTATCCCACAGAAAGTGATGGTCTAGAGCCCTCAAATTCAACTCTGGACCTTGAAGCCAATTGGACTGCATTTTTTCCATTGTTCCCCTCTAATTAAGGACTGATTTAGACCTGGGACATCAGGTGGGTGCAATTAATTATCAGGTAGAACAGAAAACCAGCAGGCTCCGGACCTCGTAGGGTAAGAGTTGAAAAAATGCAGCATCCACTGTACTGCAGAGCTCCCACGCTAAAGGCAATGGTTCAGACCAAACTAAATGGTCTGGTTAGACTTCTCCAAGACAAATGATGGTCTGACAGTTGCAGTAGCAAACAAATTCATGCTAAAATGTCCTCACTCAGTGTTCTTCTCACACAAACTTTCTGTGGGCTACACTTCCCTCTCTCTGCCAACCTGTCAGACACACTCTGTTGATTCTCACATACAGGTAGCTAGTTAGCTAGAAGCATACAGCTATTTTCCTTCTGTGATAAGTAATGTAGTTCCCATACTTGATAGCCTGGCACCGGATGATGATCCTGTCTCCCATGTGCTCTTTGGGACAGTCGGGAATGGGCCGGATCTCCACTGCATCATCCTGGAATACCAGAGGAATGTCATGGATCCAGCTACTCATATCAAGTCCAGCATGCACAGAAGCATGCACTGTATTCATGTATGTGTGTGCGTTAGTGATGCGCGTGTAAGCTGTTTGTTCACCCGCACCTGCTGGCAATTGCTAATAACCCATCCGCAACCGCCTGACTATAGGTGATAAAGTGAAAATCTGAGGCCTGCAACCGAACCTAACCCGTTAATATAGAAAATGTGCTGTAGGCTACAGTCAGAGACGGTGGAAGGATTTTTTGACAGGGGGAGCAGGGTTACTTCAACTACCTCAACTAGCCGGTGCCCCTGCACATTGACTCTGCACCGGTACCCCCCTGTATATATAGCCTCCCTACTGTTATTTTATTTTACTTCTGCTCTTTTTTTCTCAACACTTTTTTTGTTGTTGTTTTATTTTTACTTTCTTTGTTAAAAATAAATGCACTGTTGGTTAAGGGCTGTAAGTAAGCATTTCACTGTAATGTCTGCACCTGTTGTATTCGGCGCATGTGACCAATAAAATTTGATTTGATTTGATTTATCTTTTGCCTGAATTAGATATGTTTCTGTTTATAATTTCAGACATTTTGTTAGACAACTTGTCTATAATTAGATACATGCAGCTTCTATTCTGTCATTATATGTTAACCTAGAAGACTAAGTAAGCCCTTGCTCACCAGAATAATGTCATAAATTGACAGAATGAATGCTTCAATCTAGTTGACATCGGTAAAGTTCTCTGTCATCTATGCTTCTTTCACAGAGTAAAGAAGTTTAGGGACCAGAGAGAAAATCCAATAACTAAAAATTAAAACGGGACAGATTTTCTGTGCAAATTTTTCAAATGACATCAGTTTGACCGGTTGTAAGGAAATAGAAAGCTGTAAAAAGGACCCAACATGTTTCTGATAAGATTTCAGTTTGGCTTGGATTCAAATTTTATGTGGTTGAAATACTATCAGCTTCATGATGCTGATAAAGATAGCACCTCTACAGACGGTATATAACTGCACATTCGCATTCTCTCAATGCTGAAAGAAATAAATCATATTTCTCCACTCCTGTTCCAGAGTCAAAATGTTGCCTTCATTTGGTTTATCATTTTACTGCAGGAAATGCTAAATTCTGCAAGAGTAATATGATGGCTATGTGAGAGGTTATCGACCTACAGTCAGTGTCCAGATTTCAGTTTCCATTTAACCCATCTGAACAGTAGACTACAGTTCCCTTGATGTGCCATAGGCCTATTTGAAGTCCCCGTCTTGTGACTGTCGAATTTGTATATCGCCTCACAATCATCACATATCATAACACTGCCATCATCCTCTTTTACCACTTCACCAAATCTTTCCCAAACATTACTTTTCTGGCCCTCCCTTCTATTTTCAACTGTCCATTTCACAGCTTTTCTCCTATTGAATTAAACTCAGACATTGTCCATTTTGCCTCAGCGGACTGACGTTAACTTTTTCTGCCCGTTCCCAAAAGCATTTGGCAATTGGCGTAGGCCTACAGTTAGGCCCTAAAGCATTCGCACTGATGCCAGAAAGCCTACAATAATGAAAGGAAAAACCTAAATGTAGCCTATAGATATAAATTGCACAAGAATGATACATTTATGGACTTTTTAAGGTATTGCTTTCTCTTTACTCAATCCACCCGCCACCCACCCGCCCTTCATACACACAATATTTCATGACCCTAAACCCGCCTGCCCCACGGATATAACTGCAGGGACTGCGGGTTATGAGTCAACCCGCGCATCACTGGTGTTTGTGTGTGTGCGCGCGCGTCCCTCTCTCACCTCGTCGGTCGGTGGGTACAGGGCGAACAGGTCTGGGTGGCGGTTCCCCTGCCGGGCTTCCTGGTTGAACCTGTCCAGGTCATCATGGTTACTGAAGCGCAGTAGCCCGTCCACTCTGGGGTCAGGGGTCAGACCAGAGCGGAGGTCAAAGTCAGAGGAGGTCAGGGTCTTGCCAGAGTCATCACTCAGTACCGCCAGGGAGGGGGACTTCACCTGTAATAATAATAATGACAGGTATTAGAAGAGAGGGAAGGACAGGGACTGAGGAGGTAGGAAGAGGATGGAAAAGAGAATTCTCCCAACAAAAGAATGTTACTTCTCCCAAACAAAACTATATTTCATGTAGGCCTACATTGCAAGTGTTTCCAAATAATTGCAGCACTTCAAGTGCTTAGGCCGGTAATTTGCTATGCTAGTTGCCATCCTTCAGCAAATTTGCCTAATTTGGGTTAAAATATTTACTCAAATATTTTGTCTTCAACAATCCAGGAACTTGACCCTTTAAAACATATGAGGAAACATCCATCCATCTTCCATCTAACCTCCACACCCCGAACACTGCCTCACAGTGCCCCAATCCCACCCAGGCTTCCCCAATCTGGGCCACAGGGCTCCAGGCAACCCCACATGATTGCTAATGATCCCCAGAGTGCTGCAGTGTTGGAGCAAGGGACCATTAGACGCTGTGTGACAATAGGCCTGTTCTTCTCCTCTCTCTGGCCTGGAGCGGATGGGAAACCCACGGCTGGAACAAGGGGCCTTTGGTTTGGGTGATTAGGACTTGGCAAGCCTGGGGAATGGGGCTGGTGATGGGGAGAGGAGCTAGGGCTGGAGACAACTTGACTGGGGGGCTGGGAGCTGACTGAGGATGGCTGGTGCTGGGGGAAGGACTGTTGAATAGAGCTGGGGGCTGGCTAAGGCTGGAGACAGAGGTTAGCTAGGGCTTGCCGGGGCTGGGACTTGACTGTCAGGGGGTTGGAGCTTTGAACTTGGCACTAGGGGCTGGGAGAGGTGGTTGGCATGGGGTTGGCTGGGTGCTGTCTGGGGACTTGGCAGGACAGAGAACTGAATGCTGACTTGGGCTGGTCAGAAACAGACGGGACTGCATGAATATTCAGCCTCATTGTGGCAGGGCAGGCTGGGTAAACATGAGGGAGACGGTGCCAGGATGGAGGTAACAGGAATGACAAAACACTTCTGTGTTCAGTGTTGTGCTCCCCATCCCCTCCTTTCTCTCTGTCTCTCTTTCTATTGCTTCTCTCTGTTCTCTCCCTCTCCCTCACGTTCTAGCTCTATATCAATCGATCTGAGGAGTCAGGAGATGTAGCTTGAAACAACTGTAGTATTCAGGTTTCATGCTATGCATGCCATCTTTCTCTGATACAGTACCCAGGGTATCATGTTACTCTGTTTATTTCAATCCGTAATGTATCTGATAGCTGCATGCTATACTACTGTAAACTCTGTATGTACTCTGGTCTCCTGATGACAATGGGACTGACAGAACTGCTCCTTACAGACCCAAACCCTGATTTGTTTTGTTAAAAAGTATTTGGGTTTTATTTGTTGTGGTGTTGTGTATGAATTATTGTATATATTTTGTGCTTACCCGTGTCTCTTGTTTCTCTGGCTGGACGTCGGATTCAAAAGTCTGTTTCTGCAGAGTTGTGTGTAGACTTGCCCGCTCGGAATATGCACTCCAACTATCTCCCTGGCACCTGCCCACACAACACCCAACCCCAGATACGGCATGGTTACTGATACACCAGTGCCATTTTAATTGAAACAAATCAGATGACAGACATACAAACAGAACCACAGCATGTGGGTTAAAACCCTGACCAGGATAATGTGTGTGTGTGTGTGTGTGTGTGTGAGAGAGAGAACCAGCAGGAGATAGTGGGTCTTGGCTGTAATCAGCATGTGAAGATGAAGAGATGGGTTATCACAGTTTCTCAGACATCTGTGAGACAGACGTGGGCGAGGACACCTTAGGTGAAGCATCTGACAAGGAAACCACTGATAGGTTTCCACTGTATAAACCACTGCATAGTTTTCTACTGTATAAAATCACTATCGTTTTCTACTGTATAAATCACTACATAGGTTTCCACTGCATAGGTTTCCACTGTATAAACCTCTGCATAGGTTTCCACTGTATAAACCACAGCATACTGTAGGTTCCCACTGTATAAACCACAGCATACTGTAGGTTCCCACTGTATAAACCACAGCATACTGTATGTTCCCACTGTATAAACCACAGCATACTGTAGGTTTCCACTGTATAAACCACAGCATACTGTAGGTTCCCACTGTATAAACCACAGCATACTGTAGGTTCCCACTGTATAAACCACAGCATACTGTAGGTTCCCACTGTATAAACCACAGCATACTGTAGGTTCCCACTGTATAAACCACAGCATACTGTAGGTTCCCACTGTGTCGTCTGCACCAGTGGTCACCAACCCTGGTCCTGGAGACTGAGCAACTTGTTGTGCATCCTTGAATTGTTGTTGTTCCACAGCCTTTAGTCATATTGTCCCAACGCCTGCACAACAAGTAGCGCTCCAGGGTTATTGATTACTAGTGTACAAACATCAAGCATTTTACAGGTCAGTAGTGAAGGAAAGGAGAGGAGACGAGGAAAGAAAGCAGCCCCTGAATGTGTCATCATAAGAAGCTTACCTCCTGCTGACAATCAGCGAGGGCTGGGTGTAACTCTGAACACAGTCCCTCACATGGGAATCCAACTCCACCCTATAGAGATACAGGAGGACAGAGAGGGAATGAGAAGGATGTAACGCACACAAATACGATAGCATACACATGTATGCACTCACTCACGTACACACACGCGGAAATATCCTCCACACACAGCCTGCATATGATCTGTTCAACTCCTTCTGCATTCCTATCTTATCAGCATTACCTGTACTATCATGTTGAAGGTGAGTGACAATCCTAAGATACCACTGACAGAATGTTATCTGGGTTATAAGTGCCTTCTGAGGTATGCTTTCTCTATTATATGATAAGCCATTGTAGTGGGACCTAGTGAACTAGTGGGTGGAGCCCTTGAAACAGATATACAGTTGAAGTCGGAAGTTTACATACACTGAGGTTGGAGTAATTAAAACTTGTTTTTCAACCACTCCACAAATTTCTTGTTAACAAACTATAGTTTTGGCAAGTTGGTTAGGACATCTACTTAGTGCATGACACAAGTAATTTTTCCAACAATTGTTTACAGACAGATTATTTCACTTATAATTCACTGTATCACAATTCCAGTGGGTCAGACGTTTACATACACTAAGTTGACTGCGCCTTTAAACAGCTTGGAAAATTCCAGAAAATGATGTCATGGCTTTAGAAGCTTCTGATAGGCTAATTGACATAATTTGAGTCAATTGGAGGTGTATCTGTGGATGTATTTCAAGGCCTACCTTCAAACTCAGTGCCTCTTTGCTTGACATCATGGGAAAATCAAAAGAAATCAGCCAAGACCTCAGAAAAAAGATTGTAGACCTCCACAAGTCTGGTTCATCCTTGGGAGCAATTTCCAAACGCCTGAAGGTACCACGTTCATCTGTACAAACAATAGTACGCAAGTATAAACACCATGGGACCACGCAGCCGTCATACCACTCAGGAAGGAGACGCGTTCTGTCTCCTAGAGATGAACGTACTTTGGTGCGAAAAGTGCAAATCAATCCCAGAACAACAGCAAAGGACCTTGTGAAGATGCTGGAGGAAACAGGTACAAAAGTATCTATATCCACAGTAAAACGAGTCCTATATCGACATAACCTGAAAGGCCGCTCAGCAAGGAAGAAGCCACTGCTTCAAAACCGCCATAACAGAAGCCAGACTACGGTTTGCAACTGCACATGGGGACAAAGATCGTACTTTTTGGAGAAATGTCCTCTGGTCTGATGAAACAAAAATAGAACTGTTTGGCCATAATGACCATCATTATGTTTGGAGGAAAAAGGGGAAGGCTTGCAAGCCAAAGAACACCATCCCAACCGTGAAGCACTGGGGGTGGCAGCATCATGCTGTGGGGGTGCTTTGCTGCAGGAGGGACTGGTGCACTTCATAAAATAGATGGCGTCATGAGGAAGGAAAATGATGTGGATATATTGAAGCAACAACTCAAGACATCAATCAGGAAGTTAAAGCTTGGTCACAAATGGGTCTTCCAAACGGACAATGACCCCAAGCATACTTCCAAAGTTGTGGCAAAATGGCTTAAGGACAACAAAGTCAAGGTATTGGAGTGGCCATCACAAAGCCCTGAACTCAATCCTATAGAAAATATGTGGGCAGAACTGAAAAAGCGTGTGCGAGCAAGGAGGCCTACAAACCTGACTCAGTTACACCAGCTCTGTCAGGAGGAATGGGCCAAAATGTATTGTGGGAAGCTTGTGGAAGGCTACCCGAAACGTTTGACCCAAGTTAAACAATTTAAAGGCAATACTACCAAATACGAATTGAGTGTATGTAAACTTCTGACCCACTGGGAATGTGATGAAAGAAATACAAACTGAAATAAATCATTCTCTCTACTATTATTCTGACATTTCACATTCTTAAAATAAAGTGGTGATCCTAACTGACCTAAGACAGGGAATTTTTACTAGGATTAAAAGTCAGGAATTGTGAAACTGAGTTTAAATGTATTTGGCTAAGGTGTATGTAAACTTCCGACTTCAACTGTAGGTTCGTAGTGGAGAAAGTTACTGGGACTATTGGACAAATAGCCAGGCTTAAATCACTGCCGAACCCAGAACTCTAGACCCATGCCCTTTCCAGGCATAAGCAATATAGTAACAGGCATGGTTGACTTTACTCTATATTGAACATGTGACCATGCAACCCACCCCTTCTCGGGTACAGAGTGGCGTACGGTCCGACACTCCTTCTCCACCAGTTCTACTTCCAGGTCGTCGTCAGGGAAATCTCCGAGCTCCTGCATGAGGGCGGAGTCTCCACTCTGCAGCTGTGACATCAGAAACTCCTCCAGGTCCAAGGGCTCCACCGCGTCATATGACTGGGGCTGGAGAAAGAGAGAGAGGGAGGAAGGGAATGGTTAAATAGAGGAACAGACAAGTATTACATTGACAACACAGACTGGGACTAGAATGGACAGATATACAGTCTGTTTTCTATACTGTATATAGTATAGAGAAAAGGGGAGAAGGAGACATACAGTGCCTTGCAAAAGTATTCATCCCCCTTGGCGTTTTTCCTATTTTGTTGCATTACAACCTGTAATTGAAATGGATTATTATTTGGATTTCATGTAATGGACATACACAAAATAGTCGAAATTGGTGAAGTGAAATTTAAAAAATAACTTGTTAAAAAAAAGAATACAAAATAAATAACGGAAAAGTGGTGCGTGCATATACAGTGAGGGAAAAAAGTATTTGATCCCCTGCTGATTTTGTACGTTTGCCCACTGACAAAGAAATTATCAGTCTATAATTTGAATGGTAGGTTTATTTGAACAGTGAGAGACAGAATAACAACAACAAAATCCAGAAAAACGGATGTCAAAAATGTTATAAATTGATTTGCATTTTAATGAGGGCAATAAGTATTTGACCCCCTCTCAATCAGAAAGATTTCTGGCTCCCAGGTGTCTTTTATACAGGTAACGAGCTGAGATTAGGAGCACACTCTTAAAGGGAGTGCTCCTAATCTCAGCTTGTTACCTGTATAAAAGACACCTGTCCACAGAAGCAATCAATCAATCAGATTCCAAACTCTCCACCATGGCCAAGACCAAAGAGCTCTCCAAGGATGTCAGGGACAAAATTGTAGACCTACACAAGGCTGGAATGGTCTACAAGACCATCGCCAAGCAGCTTGGTGAGAAGGTGACAAAAGTTGGTGCGATTATTCGCAAATGGAAGAAACACAAAAGAACTGTCAATCTCCCTCGGCCTGGGGCTCCATGCAAGATCTCACCTCGTGGAATTGCAATGATCACGAGTACGGTGAGGAATCAGCCCAGAACTATACGGGAGGATCTTGTCAATGATCTCAAGGCAGCTGGGACCATAGTCACCAAGAAAACAATTAGTAACACACTACGCCGTGAAGGACTGAAATCCTGCAGCGCCCGCAAGGTCCCCCTGCTCAAGAAAGCACATATACATGCCCGTCTGAAGTTTGCCAATGAACATCTGAAGGATTCAGAGGATAACTGGGTGAAAGTGTTGTGGTCAGATGAGACCAAAATGGAGCTCTTTGGCATCAACTCAACTCGCCGTGTTTGGAGGAGGAGGAATGCTGCCTATGACCCCAAGAATACCATCCCCACCGTCAAACATGGAGGTGGAAACATTATGCTTTGGGGGTGTTTTTGTGCTAAGGGGACAGGACAACTTCACCGCATCAAAGGGACGATGGACGGGGCCATGTACCGTCAAATCTTGGGTGAGAACCTCATTCCCTCAGCCAGGGCATTGAAAATGGGTCGTGGATGGGTATTCCAGCATGACAATGACCCAAAACACACGGCCAAGGCAACAAAGGAGTGGCTCAAGAAGAAACACATTAAGGTCCTGGAGTGGCCTAGCCAGTCTCCAGACATTAATCCCATAGAAAATCTGTGGAGGGAGCTGAAGGTTCGAGTTGCCAAACGTCAGCCTCGAAACCTTAATGATTTGGAGAAGATCTGCAAAGAGGAGTGGGACAAAATCCCTCCTGAGATGTGTGCAAACCTGGTGGCCAACTACAAGAAACGTCTGACCTCTGATTGCCAACAAGGGTTTTGCCACCAAGTACTAAGTCATGTTTTGCAGAGGGGTCAAATACTTATTTCCCTCATTAAAATGCAAATCAATTTATAACATTTTTGACATGCGTTTTTCTGGATTTTTTTGTTGTTATTCTGTCTATCACTGTTCAAATAAACCTACCATTAAAATTATAGACTGATCATTTCTTTGTCAGTGGGCAAACGTACAAAATCAGCAGGGGATCAAATACTTTTTTCCCTCACTGTATATTCACCCCCTTTGCTATGAAACCCCTAAATAAGATCTTGTGCAACCAATTACCTTCAGAAGTCACATAATTAGTTAAATAAAGTCCAACTGTGTGCAATCTAAGTGTCACATGATCTGTCACATGATCTCAGTATATATACACACACCTGTTCTGGCCCGAGTCTGCAACACCACTAAGCAAGGGGCACCACCAAGCAAGCGGCACCATGAAGACCAAACAGCTCTCCAAACAGGTCAGGGACAAAGTTGTGGAGAAGTACAGATCAGGGTTGGGTTATAAAAAAATATCAGAAACTTTGAACATCCCATGGAGCACCATTAAATCCATTATTAAAAAATTGAAAGAATTTGGCAAACAAACCTGCCAAGAGTGGGCCGCCCACCAAAACTCACGGACCAGGCAAGGAGGGCATTAATCAGAGGCAACAAAGATACCAAAGATAACCCTAAAGGAGCTGCAAATCTCAATAGCGGAGATTGGAATCTGTGTCCATAGGACCACTTTAAGCCGTACACTCCACAGAGCTGGGCTTTACAGAAAAGTGGGCAGAAAAAAGCCATTGCTTAAAGAAAAAAATAAGCAAACACATTTGGTGTTCGCCAAATGCCATGTGGGAGACTCCCCAAACATATGGAAGAAGGTCCTCTGATCAGATGAGACAAAAATTGAGCTTTTTGGCCATCAAGGAAAACGCTATGACTGGCGCAAACCCAACGCCTCTCATCACCCCGAGAACACCATCCCCACAGTGAAGCATGGTGGTGGCAGCATCACGCTGTGGGGATGTTTTTCCCATCAGCAGGGACTGGGAAACTGGTCAGAATTGAAGGAATGATGGATGGCACTAAATACAGGGGAATTCTTGAGGGAAACCTGTTTCAGTCTTCCAGAGATTTGACACTGGGACGGCGGTTCACCTTCCAGCAGGACAATGACCCTAAGCATACTGCTAAAGCTACACTAGAGTGGTTTAAGGGGAAACATTTGAATATCTTGGAATGGCCTAGTCAAAGCCCAGACCTCAATCCAATTGAGAATCTGTGGTATGACTTAAAGATTGCTGTACACCAGCTGAACCCATCCAACTTGAAGGAGCTGGAGCAGTTTTGCCTTGAAGAATGGGCAAAAATCCCAGTGGCTAGATGTGCCAAGCTTATAGAAACATACCCTAAGAGACTTGCAGCTGTAATTGCTGCAAAAGGTAGCTCTACAAAGTATTGACTTTGGGGGGGTGAATAGTTATGCATGCTCAAGTTCTGTTTTTTTGTCTTATTTCTTTCACCAAAAATATTTTGCATCTTCAAAGGGTAGGCATGTTGTGTAAATCAAATGATACAAACCCCCCAACAATCCATTTTAATTCCAGGTTGTAAGGGAACAAAATAGGACAAATGCTAAGGGGGGGTGAATACTTTCGCAAGCCACTGTATAGAGAGATGGAGAGATGGATTGAGAGAGAGAGAGAGCGGTAGAGGGAGAAAAGAGAGAGAAATACCTGAGGGGCAAGAGAGAAAAACCATAAACGTTTTTTTTAGTTTCATGCAGAGGGCACAGGCAGGAAACGGTTAAGACAAAGATAATACGCAACTACATGATGACATTCTTAAGGTTATGAATCCACCCACTGTATTGCATCTAAAAGTGTAATTGCTAGAGGTTAGAGCCAGATATGTATTCCTTGGCTTCAATGAAAGGAATGCCTGGACTTGAAGCATACCAAGAATTTAACAACAAAAAAATTTAAGAAGCGGAGAAAGATGGCAAAGAGAGAGAGAGACGAAGAGAGAGAGAGGAGAGGGAGAGAGAGAGGCAGAGAGGAGAGGATAGATGCCAGAGAGAGAGAGAGAGAGAGAGAAGAGAGAGAGAGAGAGCAGAGAGAGAGAGGCAAAGAGAGATTGAGGCAGAGAGAGAGAGCGAGAAGAGAGGCAGAGAGAGAGAGAGAGAGGAGAGAGAGAGAGAGAGAGAGGCAGAGAGAGAGAAGAGAGTAGAGAGCAGAGAGCAGAGATAGATGAGAGAGAGGAGAAGAGAGATAGAGAGAGAAGAGGCAGAGAGAGATAGAGATACAGATGAGAGAGAAGAAGAGAGAGATAGAGAGATATAAGAGAGAGAGAGAGAGATAGAGCATAGAATAGAATATCAGAGAGATATTAGGCCAGAGAGAGAGAGAAGCAGAGATGAGAGAGAGAAGAGAGAGAATAGAGAGTACGAGATGCATAGAGAGAGAGAGAGAGAGAGAAATGAATGAAAAACAGAAAGATTAATCATCCTTGAAGGCTTTGGGGCCTGGGTACAGCACAGGGACTTTCTATAACCCTCCGTCATATCCAAATATTACAGAGCTGGGAGGAGGAGGAGGACAGGTTGGATCACAACTCTGCTGTCAACAACCTCAGACCTGTCAGGAATGAGTGGACTGAGCTCATATAGAGAGTTTGAGGTAACTTTACATACCTTTAGATGGAAACTTTACATTTAGATAGACCATTATCCATTCCTATCACATTAGTCCATTAATCCTCCTCATAAGAGTCTAACCCTCTGCAACCCCTGGGGAACTATGCCCCTATAACTCCCTATCCTAAGGGGTGACTGACCCTTCATGACAGTTCATATGATTGACGTGAGAAGTGTCATGTGTGGAACATCATTACAGACAAAAACAGTTTTGTTCAGTTGGTGTTATACTGTGTAGGTACTCTGTAACTACTGTGGTCTTCAATGGAATTACTCTAAACATGGAAGCTGTAAGACACGCACATAATACAAAAACAATGGTAATACAATGGCACTTGCCAAATTCTCTTCTAATTACATCACTAGAGCAGTAACTGTGTGGTTACATATACAGTAGTTCAATTATTATATGGTAATCTGTGAAGTGTGGCTCGGAAACCTTCAATAGGCCTTTAAGAACTCCAGTTTACTGTTGTAAAAATAGCGATAATGTAGTAAGACAACTCAAGCAAAGAGGATCTGAATGGAGAATAATCTGGAGAGCCCTTCAGAAAAGCTGGCAATGCAACAACTTCACACCTACAGCCTTATCCCACACAAGTCTGTGATAAAAGAGTCAAAGAAATAAACATGCTTTTTGTCACCAGAGAAGGCCATCGGATGACTATCGTAGATGAGAGGCTGCATCATAGTGATACTGCATGTATTCCAGATCTGTATCATTCTTCATTTCTATGGACTGTATGTGAGGGCATGGCATGACAGGAGGGTAGTGCAGGTGTTTCTGAGAGAGGGCTGTAGAGCTGAACCTGTGCATACGACGACCACATATCTGATCATACATCCGGCTGCTTCAGTGAGCAATGTTCCAAAGCCTAGATTTGTTACATTGATCACAGCGGACTAAAATGAAAATGTTAGTGTCCAGAAAAAGAAAGTGAACTGTTGTGCTTCCATCTGTTTTGTAAATGCTGCTCTCTGCAACAAGACTCAGTGCCAAGTGTCAAAGAAAGAAAAGAAAAGAAAAAGAGAAGAGAAAATAAAATAAAATAAGGAAAAGAAATGCAGCAGAGTGTTAAACAGAGGTGAAAGCAGTCCTGGATTCCTTTTGCTCTGACATGTTTTTTACATAATCCGTGAAGTTTTTTACTACACCAGTGCCATGCTAGGTGGAAAACAGGAACTTGCAACACAGAGAGAAAGACCAGAGGTAGATAGAAAGCCAAAAAAAGAGGGTGATGATGCATTCAAAATAAATGGTATGTCCCTACCAGATGGTACAAGGCTTCATTAGTTGTATTTTGTTTAGTGTGAGGAGTGAATCTGGACAAGCATCCTAATACTCCCTAAGATATTTGAGTGAACCTCAGACATTTAAATGTTTGGGGAATCATGGCTACATATCTCCTTTCATAATATACTGTATGTTCTCTTTCCCTTCCTTAGCATGGGAGCCAAATTAAACAAATAAATGCAAATCTACGCATACCTCTGTCCTAACTCCCAGGCATGCTGCACTATGGAGCAATGCTCTCAGCTGGGCCAGCAACAGGCTGTTGTCCATTCCAGCAGTCAGACTATTAAGACTACTAATATACACATTTGTTGTTTTGTCTTGGGGGTGTGTAGTGTTTTGTCCAATATATATATATATCTTGCCTTATGAATAACCAGTAACCTACATCCCTAAGAGGAAACTACTACACACAGGCTGTACCAAATACCCAGTCTAACAACACATTACCTGCCTCTAAACTCAACACTGGCTGCTTACACACACATCTTAAACATAAAAGTGTAAGTCTCAAGATGACTGTTAGTAGAAATATAACAACACAGGTACACTGAATTGGAAGTAGACTTACCTTGCTGAATATTCAACATGTACGAGGGAAGTTGACAAAATGGTACATTCCGGAAACAAGAAGAGTCTCACAAGACTCCGGGACTCTCAGACCCAATTCCAAAGTGACTCCTAGCCCCTACCCCAAGGCACTTGTGTAGATGTGAAAGGAGTGGATAGGTATAAGCAACATAGTGGAATTACTCCTAGCCTTTCAGAGGGCAAAGTGGAGCCATCAACATTTTGCTAATACAGTGGGGGGAAAAAAGTATTTAGTCAACCACCAATTGTGCAAGTTCTCCCACTTAAAAAGATGAGAGACGCCTGTAATTTTCATCATAGGTACAAGTCAACTTTGACAGACAAAATGAGAAAAAAAATTCCAGAAAATCACATTGTAGGATTTTTAATGAATTTATTTGCAAATTATGGTGGAAAATAAGTATTTGGTCAATAACAAAAGTTTCTCAATACTTTGTTATATACCCTTTGTTGGCAATGACACTGGTCAAACGTTTTCTGTAAGTCTTCACAAGGTTTTCACACACTGTTGCTGGTATTTTGGCCCATTCCTCCATGCAGATCTCCTCTAGAGCAGTGATGTTTTGGGGCTGTCGCTGGGCATCACGGACTTTCAACTCCCTCCAAAGATTTTCTATGGGGTTGAGATCTGGAGACTGGCTAGGCCACTCCAGGACCTTGAAATACTTCTTACGAAGCCACTCCTTCGTTGCCCGGGCGGTGTGTTTGGGATCATTGTCATGCTGAAAGACCCAGCCACGTTTCATCTTCAATGCCCTTGCTGATGGAAGGAGGTTTTCACTCAAAATCTCACGATACATGGCCCCATTCATTCTTTCCTTTACACGGATCAGTCGTCCTGGTCCCTTTGCAGAAAAACAGCCCCAAAGCATGATGTTTCCACCCCCATGCTTCACAGTAGGTATGGTGTTCTTTGGATGCAACTCAGCATTCTTTGTCCTCCAAACACGACGAGTTGAGTTTTGCCCAAAAAGTTATATTTTGGTTTCATCTGACCATATGACATTCTCCCAATCCTCTTCTGGATCATCCAAATGCACTCTAACAAACTTCAGATGGGCCTGGACATGTACTGGCTTAAGCAGGGGGACACGTCTGGCACTGCAGGATTTGAGTCCCTGGCGGCGTAGTGTGTTACTGATGGTAGGCTTTGTTACTTTGGTCCCAGCTCTCTGCAGGTCATTCACTAGGTCCCCCCGTGTGGTTCTGGGATTTTTGCTCACCGTTCTTGTGATCATTTTGACCCCACGGGGTGAGATCTTGCGTGGAGCCCCAGATCGAGGGAGATTATCAGTGGTCTTGTATGTCTTCCATTTCCTAATAATTGCTCCCACAGTTGATTTCTTCTAACCAAGCTGCTTACCTATTGCAGATTCAGTCTTCCCAGCCTGGTGCAGGTCTACAATTTTGTTTCTGGTGTCCTTTGACAGCTCTTTGGTCTTGGCCATAGTGGAGTTTGGAGTGTGACTGTTTGAGGTTGTGTACAGGTGTCTTTTATACTGATAACAAGTTCAAACAGGTGCCATTAATACAGGTAACGAGTGGAGGACAGAGGAGCCTCTTAAAGAAGAAGTTACAGGTCTGTGAGAGCCAGAAATCTTGCTTGTTTGTAGGTGACCAAATAGTTATTTTCCACCATAATTTGCAAATAAATTCATTAAAAATCCTACAATGTGATTTTCTGGAGAAAAAAAATCTCAATTTGTCTGTCATAGTTGACGTGTACCTATGATGAAAATTACAGGCCTCTCTCATCTTTTTAAGTGGGAGAACTTGCACAATTGGTGGCTGACTAAATACTTTTTTTCCCCACTGTACCTATCCAATGTTTTTAGGTCTCTACATGAAGTAGGTAAGGGAAGTGACAAGGAGCTGATTTGGTACGGAGCGGTGGTAAACACAAGCGAGGTAAAACACTTGACTACAGGAAGTGACATCAACAAGGCCTCCACCAATCATCTCGTGTTTCTAGAGACAGAACCCCACCACACACACAAGCAAGTGTACACTCTCACAAAAGTGGGCACGCACAGACAAGCGCAACACACACACACACGTCATCCATCATTTTGGAAATTATTATTAACTAATAACAATACTCATCATTATAAGTCCTAAAAATAGAGATGAATCATAACAATAATCATCCCACACATCTGCCTGCAGCTCCACTGAGCTCCTCCACTGATGATGCACCATGGGAAAATATCAACATGCAGATTATGTTATTAAAAACCGCACTCCCGCATTGCAAATCCACAGATATTACATATTTGCCAGTGTAAACTGGAAGGTAAGCAGGCTGTCCCATATTTTTTATTTATTTTTTGTCATTTAGCAGACGCTCTTATCCAGAGCGACTTACAGTTAAGTGAGTGCATACATTTTCATACTGGCCCCCCCATGGGAAACGAACGCACAACCCTGGCATTGCAAGCGCCATGCTCTACCAACTGAGCTACAGGGGACTACAGGCTCTCTACAGTAGCCTGAGCCCTGACCAATTTCCCAAGCAGGTTGGACATTGACCATAATAATAACTAGGGGATGGGCCAACTCTCCCTCCTCTGGCCTAGTCAGCTGACAGAGACATATCAAAGGGCTGAAGCCTAAAGTCAGAGAGATATGGAGAGACTTACAGTAAATCCTGACGCCTTAAGCCTGTCAAATATAGAGAGGTATTAGTGCACTTAGTACGAGAGAGAGCGAGTAGAGACAGAGAATAAGTGAGGGGTCACAATGTCTGGTGGGACAAAATCCCTCTTTAGGATTACATTTTTAGGCCTACAGCACAAAATACTGTCTGAGAGTCTCACTCAGAATCCATCTCCTTAGGGTAGCTAAATATTATACCGTAGTGCTATTTGCTGCTACCCATGAAAAGGTACAGTTAGTTGTGGTAGTACTGTAACTCACCACGGTGAAGCACATGGAGGCAGATGTGTTGGAGCCATGACGACTGTGTTGCTTGGAGACCTGAGGGGAGCCATTCGTCCCACCAAAGTGTCTCCTGATCTCAGCAGACGAGTGTCTGAAACAGAGGAGAGGAGAAACTCTTAGAGACCAAACAGAGATGATCAAAAAGGTACCTGAGAGAAAGAGTGGACACGTATTGAAAAGGTATAAGTACAAAGGAGAGCAGGCAGAGATATTTCAGGTGATCTTTTCAAGGGGCAGCATGACTCAGTCATTATGGTAAGGGTTAGCGTCGGTCACTGATTGAGTAAAAACATCCTCAATTTTTCCCCCCCTCTATCAAATTCCTCCCTGGTTATGAGAGTCATTCAGACTACTGACGAAAATACAAGTATGGGAGCTCCCCTGTGTGAAAAAGTAATTGCCCCCCTTACACTCAATAACAGGTTGTGCCACCTTTAGCTGCAATGACTCCAACCAAATGCTTCCTGTAGTTGTTGATCAGTCTCTCACGTCGCTGTGGAGGAATGTTGGCCCACTCTTCCATGCAGAACTGTTTTAACTCCGTGATGTGTGGGTTTTCAAGCATGAACTGCTCGTTTCAAGTCCTGCCACAACATTTACATTTCATCTCAATTGGGATTAGGTCTCGACTTTGACTAGGCCATTCCAAAATGTCCAATTAGTTGCTTTTTACCAATTTTCATGTAGACTTGATTGTGTGTTTTGGATCATTGTCTTGCTGCATGACCCAGCTGCGCTTCAGCTTCAGCTCACAGACGGATGGTCTGACATTCTCCTGTAGAATTCTCTGATACAGAGCAGAATTCATGGTTCCTTCTATTAAGGCAAGTCGTCCAGGTCCTGAGGCAGCAAAGCATCCCCAAACCATCACACCACCACCACCATGCTTGACCTTTGGTATGATGTTCTTACTGTGGAATGCAGTGTTTGGTTTTCGCCAGGCATTACTGGAACCATGTCGTCCAAAAAGTTATACTTTTGAATCATCTGTCCATAGAACATAGAAGTCTTGATGATCATCCAGGTGCTTTTTGGCAAACTTGAGTCAAAAGACTGCTTTTGGGATATGTGTCTTTAGTTGTGGACACTACATCACCGCACTCCCTCTCTTGCTCCTCAACTTTGTAAGTCACCTTGATTTTGCACCTATAAAAATATTTAGCGAACTCCATGACAGTAGCTAAAGCAAGGGGCTATAGTAGCACACAAGTAGACTACAAATGCATGCTGGGCCGGACATGCCCTGAGCTCATGAAGTGAGTGCTACTGGAGCGAAATTGGAGCAGACGAGAAGGCCAACGCTCCAGCCTTTGGGAATCTCGCTCTGCGCTCCAGTCAAATTTGGATCGCTCTGCTCCTCGCTCCACTCCAGCTCCACTCCGCTCACATACTCTGGTGTGCAGGCAGTTCAACTGGGCTGCACACACACACACACACACACACACACACACACACACACAACATGTTTTAAGATGACCCCAATCATTCCTGTCCCCAAGAACTCTAAGGCCCCCACTTAAAGCTCTCGACCTGCTCCACTGCAGCCCTGTCGATGTTGAGTAGGTCGAGAGCTTCAAGTTCCTCGGTGTCCATTTCACTAAAGACTTAAAATGGTCCAAACACACACACGACAGCGGCTCTTCCCCCTCAGGAGGTTAAAAAAGTTTGGCATGGGCCCTCAAATCCTCAAAAAGCTCTACGGCTGTACCATTGAGAGCATCTTGACTGGCTGCATCACTGCCTGGTATGGCAATAGCACCGCACTCGATTGCATGGCGCTACAAAGGGTGGTGGGGACAGCCCAGTACATTACAGGGGCTGAGCTCCCTGCCATCCAGGACCTCTATATCAGGCAGTGTGGAAGAAAGGTCCGGAAGATCGTTAAAGACTTCAACCACCCAAGCCCATTACTGTTCTCTCTGCTTCCGCATGGCAAGTGGTACCGGTGCAATGATCATGCTGTTTAATCAGCTTCTTGATATGCCACACATTTTAGGTGGATGAATTATCTTGGCAAAGGAGAAATGCTCACTAATAGGAATATAAACACATTTGTGCACCAAAGAAATATGCTTTTTGTGCGTATGAAATATTACTGGGATCTTTTTTTTCAGCTCATGAAACATGGGACCAACACTTTACATGTTGCGTTTATATTTTTGTTCAGTATACCTCCATCACTCAGTATGGAGTATCCCTGCACATTGTAAATATGGTATTGGAACTGACCCTGTATACAGTACACTTACTTACTTACTTATTGTGTTCTTCATATTTGTTCTCATTTCATGTGTTTTTTCTAGTATTACATTGTTATTGATTTTTGCATTGTTGGGTTTTGAGTTTGCAAGAAAGGTATTTCACTGTACTTGTGCATGTGACATTAAAACTTGAAACTTGGAGTTGGGAATCTTTGAGGGGCACTGCCAAATGGGTCAGTCTAGCACAGTTTATAGTTAACCTCCAATACCATTTTGTCATATTTCCTCTTGTGACTTGAGTGTGAATTTGGACAAAATGTGATGTGTTTACCACACTGTATGGTGTATGTGGCTCTGGGCTGTGGCTCTAACTGGTTGGACTTCGCTCTGTGTTCATTTGCATGCTACTCTCCTCCCACCTGCCTGCGTCTCGCCCAGGTCCTGAACTTCAGAGCCATGTGGCTGCGGCTCCTCCTAACAGGCTCAGTGACCACATGGAATGAGACTAGGCGAGAGAGAGAAAGAGAGAGAGAGCACGAGAGAAAGCAAGAGAGAGAGCTCCTGTTAAAATAAAAAAACTTATTTGGGTAAACTACGCAGGAGGAGGCATGGCATAAAACACTGATAATACCACTGCTCCAGTGGAGAGTTCGCCAGGAGAGTTGCATATACTGAAGAGTACAAGGGCCATTCTAAGAATACCTCTGGTATTCGCCAAACCTTTATGAATGTCTAAGGAATCTGAGTCTGGACTGGATGTTCCATGGGTTGGCAAATATACGTACAAGACCAACTGTAAACATACAACTTGGAGTTAAGGTGTTACGGCTAGAATCAAAATAAGCCCTTATACAAAGCCATGATTGCATGCTTGTACAGTATATTTTTGTACAGTATCCAACTCAACTCATCATGCGTACATACTGTATCTTCTACTGTAGTTTTTAACAATTGCTGCTGAGGTTAAACCTAACATTTAATAACAGGGGTGGAAAACAAAAACACATGCATGTGTCTTCTGTCTTCTGACTCAAGGACAGACTGTGTTGTGGTTGGTGTATATTGAGCTTTCCTCAAGGCCATAAAGTCAGTCGTCAGTACTTTCTCATAATTCAACAGCCTGAGACAGACTTCTAAGACAGCCCCTGCCCTTTATACAGTAGCAGACTACCCATAACTACTCTGTCACATTCTGTCAACACATGGCCTCTCCATCTCCATGTCTCCCATTACTACACTCACATGATTATAAAGACAGCAGGCAGACACAACTCTTACCAGGCACATAGACACACAAACTAACCACCTACACAACTCATACCAGACACACTCTAGGGCTGGGTGATATGGCATAAAAATCATATTCTGATTTTTTTCTAACTTATGGGCGATTCATGATATACAGTATATCTCAATTTTTTTTAATGTTTTCCCTAAATAAGCGTTGTTGTACAATTAAAAAGGTCAAATACACTGCATTTGAAACAGTCAGCAACAATCTAATGAATTCAGGTATTGTGGTTATACCTAGGCTAAATATAAGCCTTCCACAACCATAAGACCCACTAATAATTTAATTATTTTATCAAAATAGTCGGTCTATGAAAATGCCCTTTGTTACAAATTCAACTAGAACCATGCATAATGCACATTCACTAATAATGACTAACTTCTTGTAGCAGGCATTAGGCTATAGAAAATGAACACAGGTCTCATCAACAATCTCGAGTCATAGTGCTAGTGATTAGCCAGCTAATCTTTTATTCTTATAGTTTTCTTTCACGATATAACAACAATGCAATTGAATTACATTTGGCATTAAACAATAACTTCACAGACATGAATATACAGTGCATTCTGAAACACCCCCCCCCCCCCCCCCCACACACACACACACACCCACCCACCCAGGCCACAGCCCCACTCCAAAACGGACCAAATAAAAAAAAACTTCCTCATCAATCCACACACAACACCCCACAATGACAATGCGAAAACAGCTCCCCAAACCTGCCCCCGCCCCGCCACCATGGGGCACCGCGTGCAGACCGACGAGGGAAAAAAAACAACCTAATCCATTCTAGAACAAGCCCCCCCCCCCAATAACAACTATTACAACAAAAGGAAAAACTAAACAAACAAAACAAACTACCCTCCCCTACCAGTCATCTATGTATGTCTGTAGTCTATCAGGCCATTACATATTGTTCTCTTTCTATCGCTGAGTGAAAATGTCCCCAGATGTCAGAAAAGTTATCGAGTTTACCATTCATTTTATAAATCAATCTTTCATATGAAGCTGCTTCTGCCAAGGCTATATACCATTCCTTATATGAGGGAGGGTCCTTCTCCCTCCAGTGTCTCAATATGACTATTTTGGCTGTGGTTAGAGCAACTTTTAGCCAGTTTAAATATGAGCTTCTCAGTCTATCAATATCCTTACTGATATTCAGTAATAGCAAAGCAGGATTTACAAGTATTGTGGTACCCAGAATATCCCCAATCTTTTCCATTACCTTCTGCCAAAAAGTATGCAAGCTTGGACAGTTACAGAACATACGGATCATGTCACCTGTACTTGACTGACATCTCCAGCATAGGTTGGATTCTATCAAAATAGGCCAAATAGATTCTATCAAACCTATTCTGTCCAATAAATCCTATTGAACACTTTAAATTGAATCAGCTTGGACCGGGCATCTCTCATAGGGAGGAGCATCTGTTGTACTATTATATTCCATTCCTCCTCTCCAAATGTTAAAGTATTTTTCCTATAAGGCCTTTAGGCCCTTATAAGTTCCATTAAATCCATCTATTAAAAGGTGGTTATATATAAACCCTGCAGTATGTGGTAATTTGCAAAGGATTTCTATCTATCTGAACACATATCGGA